CATTGTTTTTTCTTTTTAAAAAAGATTTATTTATTTGAAAGGCAGAGTTACAAAGAGATAGAGGCAGAGAGGTCTTTCAACCGCTGGTTCACTCCCCACATGGCTGCAACAGCCAGAGCTGGGCAGATCCGACGCCAGGAGCTTCTTCCAGGTCTCCCACATGGGTGGAGGGGCCCAAGCACTTGGGCCATCTTCTACTTCTTTTCCAGGCCATAGCAGAGAGCTGGTTTGGAAATGGAATAGCTGGGACTCCAATCAGCACCCATATGGGATGCTGGCACTGCAGGTGGTGGCTTTACCTGCTATGCCACAGAAGCAGCCCCACTGCATTGTTTTTTCATAGTACAGCTTTATCACAAACTTTTTGAAGATCACTCATATGCATGAATTTCAATTTTTCTGCGCCAAATAAACTTATCTTTAATTTCATTTCCTTACCAAGCTCTTGAAGTACCTTCATACTTCATACAACAACATAAATGAGTTTAGTGCAAGAACCCAATCACAGAAGGCTATACACTGTATGGTTCAATTTATAGACAATTCTAGAAGAAAAACTAGATCAGTGGTTGCCAAGGAGTTTCAGAAAAGGCTGACTGAAAAGGGGCACAAAGGAACATTTTCAGGTAGCGGAATGTTCTAAATCCTGACTGTGGTAGCAGTACATGACTGTATGCATTTGACAAAACTCATCAAATTATATACTTGGTATTAGTGAGTTTTATTGTATATAAATTATATCTCCACAAAACTCATTATTTAAAGAAAAAAAAAAACAAGTGAAGCATTCATACTTTATTATATCTCATAATAACAAAAATGAATTTTCAATTATTTTTAAGTTTCAAATTCAAGCATTTTCTACACACTATACAAAATTAGCACTAATTAAGACTTGGAGCAAGTTACCATAGGAAATAACAGAGATTGTTTTCATCACTTATTAATTCCTGATAAAACCTAAGATTTGCCAGAACCCATCCAAATCTGTTATAGAAAGAAAGAAATTACAGAGCACAAGACAAGACATAACAACTTGAGATATAAAAAGTATTTTTTCAGTGTTTCATAACACAGTACAGTACTTAGCTTTTAGATAGTTTAAAAGTTTTTAAATTATGACTTTCTTGAAAAACACTGTTGGTAATAAAAGTATACAGCGATTTTCGTCAACAAAGTTTTGTGGTAAATTATTCACAAACACTGAAGGAAGAAGTAAAACAAGAACAAAAATTATGGTGTGCATCCTGCTTTCAGATGCTTTGACAATACTATTGCACTGCTAGCTGTAAAGTACAGTAGTGCAATAAAGTCAGAGCATTCGTTAGCAGTAATAAGAAGGGAAAAAATCATCTTGCATCAGTTGAAGCTTCAGTGAAAACAAAATGCTATTTTGGACAGAAGACATTCAAAACCTAAAAATGTTTGTATCAGTGTTTAGGGGGAAAGCAGGTATGACTTAAATTTCAAAGAGATATTTTTCTGATGACTATAATCAATATACAAGCAGAAACACACATAGATATAGAAAGGAAGTTTGTAAATATGTCCTAAGCCTTATTAGTAATTAATATGGGTATTAGCAATACCTTAAGATGAGTATTAACAAAAGCAGCTATAATTACTAAGGCAAAGCTGTTAAAAATATTCCTGTTTTCTGTTGTGATATTTTCTTAGCTCCTTCTCCAAGATAATTGGTTAAATGTCTATAAAATGAGTTCTTTGAATAAGAGTATCAAAGAAAAGCAAAGCATAAGTTTCTCAATCTCTGTATACTCAATCTATCACTCTGGAATTGTAAACACAATACCAAAAAAAAAATTTTTTTTTTAAATCTTATGGCTTTTTACCTCTAGATTTTACTGATGGAAGAGCCAGCCAGGGAATCAATGTATTCTAAACAGGAAAACATTAGCCCAACTTAACTGAATACTTTGGAAGGAAATTTTAAAATCCCTGTTAACTCCTAAAATAAATATAGGAGAACATATCCATTCCCTTCAAACTTTGTCAGATGTAAACCCAGAAACAGAATACTATCACATCATATCACATTGCACTACCTTTTGTGTACAATCACTAGTGACTGGTGCCACAAAAGAAGGACACTAGACAAATACCCATCAATAAGTGAAGGGAAGAAAGTCAGAGAACAAAGGTTACACTACAATAAGCTTATTCCCCCATTAGTAATGTTGATTGATGCAAAAATACATTTCCATTATTTCCACCAACCTCCCCTTAAATGATTCAGTTCAGCTACTTAGCTGAACTGAGCCTACTAAGAAATGGACTCAAATTCCAAACAGCTGAAACATGAGATTTTTGGCCTGAACTCCTGGGCCACATAACTCAAATATTAGAATTTTTAAATCTGCTAGCCAAGTATCAGGTTTTAAAGATAAATGTTTAATAGATAAATGTTTAACTTTCTGAATTGGAAGCTAATACAAACAAGAAACATGAAAAACAATTAAGAGGATCAGGCTGTCTACACAACTAGAATAAGAACTTTCTTTTCAAAGTTAATATGCATGCCCTTTTCACCTGTTAAATATTCAATACTGGTTCTGTGGCAAATCCTTTATTTGGGTAATGTAAAGCCCAAAATTAGAAGATTGCACAGGATATCATTTATGTTTAGAATCTAAACTGGTTCACAGATAACTTTTTTTCCTAAAAGTACATGGCAAATCTGAAAGTGCAAGGTTTTATTAGCTAATCAACACAAAGTAGTTATATTAAAAACAATAAATAAAGATCTGAAAACATTTTAATTATGAAAGCAAACCAATAACTTGAAAGATACAAAAGCTACTACTAACTTATTTGCAAGTAATAGAAGAAAGGAAAGAACCTGCTTTCTTTTTTCCTCTCTTCATAAAGAATTTTAAAATGACCCAGTAATTCAAACAACAGTTGAAAACTTAAAAGCTTGGCTACTTCATAATTGTCTAAATCCTACTTTTTTTTTTTTTTCAAAATGTTTACTTAATTGTCTTTCCCTAAAAATAAAATTTGCTCATTCTAAGGAAATCTTGTGAGAGTACTGGCCAGAAAAAGTTTAAAAACTAAGCAACCAATTTGAGGGGGAAAAATATCTGTTAAAAGCAGAATTAGCATCAGTAAGCCTCCAACATTTAAGCAGACATATCTACATCTGGAGGGAGGCAACCAGAATGGGAGGGGCAACATTTTATGTCTGCTGCTAGAAGCAAACTACAATACTTAACACAGCTTGTTTGCTTGCTGTTAAAAAAAAAAAAAAAAAAAAAAAAAAAAAAAAAAAAACACTAACAATAAAAATAACAAACTTTGAACTAAATGTTCATTCATTTGGAAAGCTAGGGAAAATTCTTCGCTGCCATTTCTCCCCCCACCTGCCTCCATCCTCACAACCCCTCCACAAAGAAAATTTACACACAAGATGTTAAGAGCAATTTGAAAGCATTCAAATCAACTTTGTGTATGAGAGGCACTTCAATCCACTAAGACATCGGAAGAAAGGAGATACATCAAGGCATCGCATTTTCTGCAGTAGCAGGGGGGGTGAAGATGGTGTCCGTTTCTTCCATCACCAGCACATGTCCTTTCCATAGCAGAAGTTAGAAATTCAAGATTCAGCCTGGAGACAGCAGAGCACAGGCGTAAGTGATACCTAAGCAGTAATGCCAGGGGCTGGCCGACGGGTCTCGGATGGAGAAGAAAGAAGTTTCCTTAGTACACGTAATCTTATTTTTCTTTAACAAACAAAAAAGACCGGCGCTCAAGGATGGGTGCTTCTCCCAAATCCCACGTTTTTCGAGGTCAGCCCGATCTGAAACAATCGCTAGTGTAGGAGGGAAAGGACCGAACAGAGGAACGAAGGAAAAAGCGCGGGCGATCAAGCTGCTGGTCCAGGGACGGAGGGAGGAGATAAAGAGGAGCGCGGAGGGGCAGCTCCGCCAAGAACACGAGCAGGACAGTCCCCCAGCTTGGCGGCCTCTCGCAGGCCACACACGCCGGCAACAGCGGGGCCACTTTCCCAGACGATGGCTCGGCTCCCTACTGTCGCACCTCGAAAGCGGGGTGCCTCTACCGACCCAGTCCCGTCAGCGCCCCGGGAGTGGGCTCCCCCTCACCCAACGCTTGCCACCTCCGGGCCAAAAAGAAGCGGGTCCAGGGGGCTGCCTTGGCCGCTCGCGAGGTGGGCACTCAAGTCCAGCACCCTTTCTCGGGCAGTCTCAGCCCGCCCTCGAGACCTGAACGGCTCAGCCCTGCACCTCCCTCCCCCCTCAGGTTATTCCCCACCCCACCCTCCATCGCCCTTTCTTGGAGTGTGAACGACCTCTCCCCTTCTTGGGGCCTCTGGGGAACCATTCCAGCCACTTCTGAGTGGAAACACGGACAACGCTGCCTGCACCAGGGGCAGCTCCCCGAAGGACAGAAAAGCAAGGGAAAGCAGGGAGCAATTCCAAAGGCCCGCACCCTCAGCATCTCCCGCCATTTCCCTCACGAGTTACCCGGATGTAACCCCTTCCCCGCGGCGGTTAGGAGCCCAGGCGGCGGCGGCTCCCTTTGGTGCAGGAGGAGGGAACTCGAGTCTGGCCCAGCCTCCGCCACCCAGAGTTTCCGGCGACTCCAAATCGCGGCCCACCTTCGAGGCCACTGAGGAAAAATGAATTACCCGGTAGAACTCCTTCACTTTGCACTCACCATCAGTTCCAGCTTATCGACCTCCGCCTCCATGTTGAATAGTTGACATTCCTCAGACCGCGGCGGCGCTTAAGCTGCAAGCTTTACCAGCACTGAGGGTCTCTATTGGACAGCTGTCACTCAACATCTCGCACTCATTGGCTCCTCCGTTTCCCCGGCGCCCGCCCATTGGTGACCGAGTAACGCCCCTCGGCATGAAACACATTTTCCTGTTGGGCAAAGACACAAAACGCCGCGGGAGGATTGGCTGCCGGACCCATTTTTTTTGCCATTGGCTGCCCCCTCTCCTCTACTTTCAATTTTACAGTTGGGGCTCCGCTGGGGAGAGCTTACGGTTGGTGCAATCGGAAGAAGAGCCAACCAATTACACAAGAGCTTCCACCGGCAGCACAGCGGCCGCGACACACCTTCTTTCCTCTCCGGCTTCCCCGCCCCTTCTCGCCCGCCTTCCTTGTATTCATACCAGAAGCGCCTCAACTCTGATTGGTCGGAGCGTGGTGCGCTCCCAGCCAATCACAAGCCAGGCTATGACCCTCCGCCAGCGGGAGGGCGAATCCCGAAAAGACCGCGTCTGTGATTGGTCCCTCCGTGACAAGGCTTTAATTTTGAATTTTTCCTATGGCGTGCGACAGGCCAGTGCCCGGACTTCATCTCAGCCCCAGGCTCTTAGACTAGTAAGTGCAGGGGCGACTCTCGGCTACCTGGGCTCGCGCCGTCCGTTAGCGGGGCCTGTTGCTGCTTGTGTTCTTATGGCTTAAGGAGGTGAGGACTTTGGCTGGACTCGGGACAGAGATGGATGCGGAGGTGTGGATGGGCGGTTTGGGGCTGGGGAAGAAGCGCTAGATTTGGCTGCATCCCAACCATACTTCTGTCTATTTAACATCCCGCAAAATATGCTCGGGACTCTCATCTGACTTCCTCTTTGCTCATTCTTTTTCCTCCTTGCTACCCAAGGTGGGTCCGCAGACTAGCGGCATCGGCTTCACCTGGTCTCTTGTTACAAATGCAAATTACCGGGCCCCACCCAGACTGATTAAATCGGAATTTGTTATCTTAACACGATTCTCCCTTGTGATTCTGGTGTTCTGGACTGGAACTAGTACTGGGTGACTTCTCGTAGTCCGAATACCCGCTCATTTTCTGTCAATTCTAAAAGCGCACCCAGTTGATGAGGTGTCTCACACCGTGCTGGACGAGGCTTTAGGGAACTGTAATCGCTTTTGACAGACAACACAGGAACTAGAAAAAGCAAGGGTTCCCAGCAGAAGACGTAAAACTAAATGGAAGCAAATATCAGGTGTTTGAGAAGAATCACTTCAACCGATCATGGAAATCGATTATTTGACTGAAGCCTATTTGTGAGGGAGTGTAAAAGATCCCCATAAAAATGTGCTTTAGAAAACGGTAATGAAATGAACTGTTATTTCCTTCCGTTACTGCCACACCTTGGAAGTTCCCCTGATCAAAGAACGTTTCATATCACAGGGTGTAGTTTTAACAGAAGCAGCACTGCCAACTCCCACCAAAAAAACCAAAAAAACAAAAACAAAAAACCTGTAATTCTTACTCTGTTATTTAATTGCATCTTCCTACTGGAAAGTGTTTTGTACCCATCCTTTAGCCATATAAAGATGTGAATTGATTAACTAAATCCTTCCTGACCAAGAGATTTCTCAGAATGTAGTTGCATTAACACATATTCTCTTAACTAAAAAAAGAAAACACTAGCTGGCTAGCTCCTAGAGAATGATTTTCTTTTTTCTTAATTTTTTTTTATTTTTATTTTTGACAGGCAGAGTGGACAGTGCAAGAGAGAGACAGAGAGAAAGTCTTCCTTTGCAGTTGGTTCACCCTCCAATGGCCGCCACGGCTGGCACGCTGCGGCCAGCACACGGTGCTGATCCGATGGCAGGAGCCAGGTGCTTCTCCTGGTCTCCCACGCGGGTGCAGGGCCCAAGGACCCGGGCCATCCTCCACTGCACTCCCGGGCCACAGCAGAGAGCTGGCCTGGAAGAGGGGCAACTGGGACAGAACCCGGTGCCCTGACCAGGACTAGAACCAGGTGTGCCAGCGCCGCAGGTGGAGGATTAGCCTATTGAGCCGTGGCGCCAGCCTTTATTTATTTCTTTTAAAGATTGACTTATTTATTCATTTGAAAGGCAGAATTAGAGAGGGAGAGAGAGAAATCTTCCATCCACTGGTTCACTCAACCAGATGGCTGCAACAGCCAGAGCTGAGCCAGGCTGAGCGAGGAGCGAGGAGCTTCATTCGGGTCTTCTACATGGGTGTAGGATCTCAAATACTTGAGCCATCCTCCAGTGCTTTTTCCCAGGCCATTATCGGGGAACTGGTTGGGAAGTGGAGCAGCTAGGATTCAAACCTGCACTCATATGGGATGCTGGCATTGCAGACAGTGGCTTAACACACTGTGCCAGAATTCAGGCCCCTTTTGTTTTTTTAAACCATGTGATGGCATATGTTTTTATAACCATCCTTTAATTCTTTTCAAAGCAAGGCAATAAAAAGGAAGGAAGGGTATTTTTCAATATAAATATGAAAAATGCTTTGGGGAATCATGATAGAATGAGCTTCTAAATCCAGTGCTACCAAATGGAATCCCACAGAACCCAGCAAAAGGAATTTGGAAGTCTCCTTACCACTTTGAAAAGAGGAAAAGTACAAGGATACTTTAAAAAGTTCATAGAGAGGCCAGCATTTTGGCGAAGCGGGTTAAGCCACTGCCGCCTGCAACATAGGTATCCCAGATGGGGCACCTTTTCCTGTCCCGGCTGCTCTACTCCTGATCCAGCTCCCTGCTAATGCACCTAGGAAAAGTAGCAGAATATGGCCCAATGTTTGGACCCCTGCCACCCACGTGGGAATCCAGAAGCAGCTCCTGGTTGCTAGCTTTGTGGCCATTTGAAGAGTGAATCACTGGGTGGAAGATCTCCCTCTCTGTCTCTGCCTCTCTCTCTCTGTAATTCTGCGTTTCAAATAAAAAAACTTAAAAATTCACAGAAAAGTTCATTCAATTGAACAGTTATCCCAATAATTGGGCACAGTACCTAATGTTTTTAATAAAACAATGACAATGGAACAAATCTTAGCTTATTGAGTCCTCTGATCTGTTTGATATAGAAATTTGTTATCTTTCATTTTTGGAAGAGGTGTGATTATTTTTGAATGGAACAACAATCTAAGAATATCCTCAGACTGTGCTTTTCTTCCCTGACAGACTTGACAGACTTGATACTTGATGGGACTTCTAAAAGTTCTTGGAAAATGCATATTATTAAAAACCTGCAGGACCAGGCTGGTGCCGTGGCTCAATAGGCTAATTCTCTGCCTGCGGCACCGGCACCCCAGGTTCTAGTCCTGGTTGGGGCACCAGATTCTGTCCCGGTTGCTCCTCTTCCTGTCCAGCTCTCTGCTGTGGCCCGGGAGTGCAGTGTAGGATGGCCCAAGTCCTTGGCCTTGCACCCACCTGGGAGACCAAGAGAAGCACCTGGCTCCTGGCTTCAGAACAGCGTGGTGCGCTGGCCGCAGTGACCATTAGGGGGTGAACCAACAGAAAAGGAAGACCTTTCTTTCTGTCTCTCTCTCACTGTCCACTCTGCCTGTCAAAACAAAAAAACAAAAAACAAACAAACAAAAAAAACCTGCGGGATTGCAAAAACATTTTGTACCAATAAATAAGTCTTAATTCTATTTTCCACAAACTTTTTGAAATAATCTCATATTCTCTTAAATCTCTGCATGTAGTGATTACTATTTTAATTAGATGGCTATTACATCACACACAATGGGTAAGCCCTGTGTCCCCCTGCTCCAGTCTTCACTGACTATGGGCTAGGTCAAGGGTCAGGCAAGCTACTGTTGTGTTGGTTTGTTTTCAATGGCAAGCTACTGTTGTGTTGGTTTGTTTTCAAACTACAATTTTTGTAGGGCTCGGGAACTAAGGATGGTTTAAGACCTTTAAAATTGAAAAAAAAAAAAAAGGAGTGTAATAGTTTGCAACACATGACAATTAGAGCAACTTCACATTCAGTGGCCATAAATAAAATTGTATTGGACACAGCGAAACTTCTCTGTGTGGATATTGGCCATGGTTGCTTTGGTGCTAAGTGGTAGAGTTGAACAGTTATGACAGAGACCATATTACCTGCAAAGCTTAAATATTTACTACCTTGCCTGTTACAAAGCTATCTTCCATTGCTTCTTGGCCTTCTGGCTAAAATCAAATGTAGCCTCTGTTCTTATCAGTTTAATATCTGATACAAAGCCGTCTTCCAGGGATTTCTGCACTGTTATCCTGGGAAGTCTTATCATTTGTCTTCTCTTACGTCGGCCGATTGAAAGCTTAGACACATATAGTTTTCTCTAATGGAGAACACTGTCCTTCAGAATTCCAGTCTGATGCCATTCTATCTTCTTGTAGTAGACTATATTTTTTCCCCCTCTGGGAGTTTTTAATTCTTGGGGTTCTAAAAGATAGCACGCCTCTGGCTTCTCACCATTTGCTGTGCCGGTCTGTGCCCTCACTCCATACCTCATAATTGTGCCTTAGAAAGTGGAGGAAATCAAGGACATTCTTCTCACAGCCAGGTGAAAGGATGCCAAATCTGTCAAAGTCAAGGAAAAATAAGGATAATGCGACACTTAAAGTGCGACACAGCAGATCTTTATATCTCAGCCAGAGAAACTGAAGCAGTCCGTATCCTTAAGTCTGGCAGTGAAGAAGCTGAAAGGAACCAGGCATACAGATCTGAAGTCTACTAAAATTTCTTTCATTTTTTTAAATGATAGCATGACTCACTATGATTTTTAATGATGATACTCAGTGTGGACTGTTAAGGTTGGAAATTCAAGTCCTACAGTTCTAAGAAATTGTTTATTTGATAAATAATATTATATATAATATAATATTAGATAACATATAATGTTATATATAATATAATAAGTAGTATTATATATAATATTATATATAAATAATATTATATTGTTTATTTGATAAATTCTCCATGTTCCCTCTTCTGTCCTTCTAAAACTTTATCTTCCAACTGTTCTTCTGCACTTTTTTATTTCTGCTATTTGGATGCTGGTTGGAGTCCTGGCTGCTCTGCTTTTGATTTAGCTTCATGCTAATGAGCATAGGAAGGCAGAAGACAGCCCAAATACTTGGGCCCCTGCCTCCCATGTGGGAGGCCAGGCTAGAGTTCCTAGCTCTTGGATTAGGCATGGCTCAGTCACAGCCATTGTGGACATTTGGGGAGTGAACCAGCAGATGGAAGATAATTCTCTCTCTCTCTCTTCTCTCTCTATCTCTCTCTCACACACATACACACACACACACACACACACACACAATCTCTCTCTCTCTCTCTCTCTCTCTCTCTCTGTCATCTCTGCCTTTCAAATAAACAAATATTTAAAAAAATAATAATTGGGAGGTCTGAGTGGGGAGATGGATATTATTGACTTGGGGGCACCATAGTAAGCAAATTGGTCAAGGACTTGGCCATTTTGAGGGGAAGACCCCCGGATGGCAATATCTTTAGGTCCTTTTTCTTGGGACCTCCAATTTCTCTGGAGAGGACCCTCTTAGTGTCTGGCAGGCAGGGTGAGGTGGTAGTGGCTTAAGGCACTAAACCTAGTAGCCTGTGTTCTGCAGGCTGAGCTGAGGAAAGGGACTGAAAGCCTCACTCTTCCCTTCAAGGTCATTCTCCATTATGTGGGTGATGACACACATAGGACCAGACTGCCTGGTGCTCCAGAATTCAGTGTCTCTAAGGTTCAGCTTCTCCAGAGCACAGATCTGTCTCTACTGGAGAGGACAAAGGCTGGAGGAGAGAATCCAGAGGCCTACCCGATCTTTAAATGGCTTTCAATCAATCCCATTTTAACACTAACCCAATCTTCAAAGATATGAGGTGCTTTCAATTCCCTAATCTTCTCCACCAGAGTCCTGGGAATTGACTTCCTTCCTGTTGGCTTTCCTGCTCCTGACAGTTAAGTCTCAGCTTTCTTATGTTCTGCCAAGTCAGTTACTGCCCCTCCAACTGCTTTTCATTTTCCATAATTTGGCTGGCATCTAACATCTTTTACAGTTTCCACTCCCATCCTTTGCCCTATAGATTTATGCCTTTTTTATTCCTTAACTGCCTTTTTTATGATGTTTTAAAAGGGAGTGGAGCAGAAGTGTGCTAATAAATGTTTAATAAATACACATATATACATTTATTACAAGTTTATTGACATAGTGATAATAACCAATTATGATAAATGCTAATAAAATATTCAGTACTCTGTAAATTCCACATACCCAGTTGAGTCTCAAAGAATGCTATTGTTCAGGTTTTTTTTTTTTTTAAGATTTATTTATTTATTTATTTGAAAGGCGTAGTTACAGAGAGGCAGATGCAGAGAGATCTTCAGTCCACTGGTTCACTCCCCAATTGGCTGCACCGGCTGGAGCTGTGCTGATCCGAAGCCAGGAGCCAGGAGTTTCTTCCAGGTCTCCCACATGGGTGCAGAGGCCCAAGGACTTGGGCCATCCTCCACTGCTTTCCCAGGCCTTAGCAGAGAGCTGGATCAGAAGTGGAGCAGCCAGGACTTGACCCAGCGCCCATAGAGGATGCTAGCACTGCCGGCAGCAGCCTTGCCCACTACACCACAATGCTGGCCCCTATTGTTTACAGATTATAGTTGTGATTTCCAGAACATGTAGTCCTGATATGAATGTTGGTCAATTTTTTTGTTTTTCTGAAATAAAACAAAGTAAAACACAAAAATTTATTTTGGCAACATGAGCAACTTCTTTGGTGAATCCAAGAATAGTTTTCAAAGGTAGAAATATTTTCTCATTTTTTTTGTGCTGCCACAATATGACTATAAACAAAACAAAATTTTAAATTATAGCCATGTTCTCCACATTTTTAAAGAGTATCTTCTTTTTTTATATTTAATTTAATTACTTATGTGCAGGGGTTGTGAAGCAACCCAGTAAGCTGCCACTTGGAATTCCTGCAGCACCATCTGAGTGCTGGTTCGGATCCTAGTACCTCTACTTCAGCTTCCTACTAATGCATCCCAAGAACAGCAGATAATGGCCCTAGTAGTTGGGCCACTGCCACCTGTATGAGAGACCTGGATGGAGTTCCAGGCTCCTGGCTTCAGACTGGCCCAAGACCTGGCTGTTGTAGGCATTTGGGGAGTGAACCAGAGGATGAAAGATTCTCTCTCTCTCTCTCTCTCTCTCTCTCTCTCACACCCCGCCCCCCACTGCCTTTCAAGCAGTTGAAAATAAACTTTCTAAAAATTAGATTATGTATTTGGGAGGCAGAGAGACAGAGAGAGGCAAACAGAAAAAGAGAGCTTGGGGTGGGTGCTGTAGTATAGTAGATTAAGCCATGACCTGCAGTGGCAGCATGTGGGCACCAGTTTGAGTCCTGGCTGTACCACTTCTGATCCAGCTCTTTGCTGATGCACCTGGGAAAGCAGTGGAGAATAGACAAAGTCCTCAGGCCCCTGTACCCATGTGGGTACAGATGAAGCTCCTCACTCCTGGCTTTAGCCTGGCCCAGCCTTGGCCATTGTGGCCATTTGGGGAGTGAACCAATGGATAGAAGATCCCACTCTTTCTGTCTCTCGTTCTCTCTCTCTCTGTAATGGTGCCTTTCACATAAATAAATATATATTTTTTTAAATAGAAAAAGAGCTCCCATTCATTAATTCTTTTCCCAAATGCCACAAGAGCTGGAACTCTGCTAGGCCTGGACCAGGCTCAAACTGGGAGGTGGGATCTCAACCCTAGTCTCCTTGTGTGGATGGCAGGAGCCCAGTTACTGAGGCCATCACCACTGCCTCCCAAGGACCACATTACCAGGAAGCTGGAGTTAAGAGCCAAAGCTGGGTAGTACACCCAGGTACTCCAATTCGGGATCTGGAAGTCTTAATCAGTGTTCTAACCTCTAGGCCAAATGCCTAGCACCATCTGGATAGGAATAGAGACCACTGCAATGGGTCCTTGTGGTGGGGAGAGAGATTGGGCCTAACTAAAATGATGCAGGCAAGTGAGAATTTATAGCCAAGGAGCAGAGTAGTGGATGGAAAATCGTTTCCAAGATGAAACAGAGGTAAGGGGAATTCGGGCAAATTAGACCTTATAGGATTTTTGCCAAAGACAGGCTAGGATGATCAGATATCCCCTGGGAGATAGTGGAGGATGAATAATTTGACAAGGTATCAAGCTTAGGGATAAACTAACTTCACAGAGTTCTTGGCTAAAACTAGATTCTACTAGAAAGTGCATAAACAGGCATGGGAGAAGCTTCAGGAGCCTGACTAAATTGTTATCAAGCAGAGAATCTTTGTTAGAATTATTTCACCAAGTTTAACCAGAAGGTCCAACTTCTTTTCCTTTTATTTTGAAAGGCAAAGAGGCAGAGCTGGTTTACCCCACAAATGCCCACAAAGCCGGGACTGGGCTAGGCTGAAGCATAAGCAGGAAGCTGAACCTGAAGTAGAGGAATCAGGACTCAATCAGACACTCGGACATGGGCATCTCAAGCAAGAACTTTTAAGCTCCTTTCAGAACACTATTTGCATAATTTAAGGATTGGTAAATACAGGAAAATGGAAGGCAGAAGGCTGGCTCTCTGGGTCAGTTGGGTCCCTAACAGAAAGACGTTAGGAGGAAAGGGAATAGAAAGAAAAGAGATGATAAGGGCCAGGGAGAAGACAAGGAAATAGAAGTTGCCATGGAAATCAGTAGATTCCAGGGATCCTTACAGAGGTCATTGGTCTTTTCTGGGATGCTGTCTTAAATATTTGTATCCCACAAATGTTTTGTTTTGTGTCACTTTAAGTTAAATAATAAATCAATCCTGTAGACATCTCTTGTGCCTAATAATCCCTGTTTGGCCTACCTTCATTATTTCAGTAGGAAGAAAAAGTTATATAATAGAAGTAAAGCCAGCTATTTGTTGGTGTGTCTCTCAGACCTCTAAGTACAATTCAGAAAAGCATGCTGTTAATTTAGGACCTGACAATTAACTGCAGTAAGATGCCCTGGAGAATCCTCACTTCTAGAAGAGCTATTGCTCCAGGCACTGTCACCCATTGCCATCAGGAGTGCCCTCTGCATGTCCAATGCACACTCTTGGAACCCAACCACTTGATCTTTACAGCCCACAGCAGGGTGTGGGGCAGTTCCCCAGCCAGTGCAATCTGAGAGCTGAGCAAGCATAGAGCGGCATACCAAGTGCTGGAAGGTTTCTGAGTGAACAGAAGTGGAATGAATGTGGATTTTAACGGCTGATTGTTCCTATTCAAATGTAAGTTGGAAGGGAAAGAGGCCCAGGTCTTCTGACCATTTTCAGTTCTGCTACTGAATAACAAGTCTTTGTCTCTCAGGTAGCAACAAGGGAAACTAGCTCTGACTGAATTCTCTGCAGAAAATGATTTAGATTAAGATATAAATATACTAGATAATGTTTCAAAATGCTCTGGAGATGGGGTGGGCATTTGGTGCAGCGGCTGAAGTAGCCTCTTGATTGCCAGAGTCCCTGCTGCTCCAGTTCCCTGCTAATATGCACCCTGGGAGAGAGCAGGCACGGCTTAAGTCCGCGGGTCTTTGCCACACATGTGGGAGACCCAAATGGAGATCCAGGCTCCTGACTTCAGCCTGGCCCAGCCCTGGTTGTTGTGAGCATTTGGGGAGTAAACCAACAAATGGGAGATCTGTCTGTCTCTCTCTGCCTTTCAAATAAATACATTCTCTATGTGCTTTAAAACAATATTTTAAAATGCCTACAGCTTTGGATTTTGGGTAATAATTATTTTATTATATATTGCCTATTTATTCTGTTGCACAACAGAATAGTTGAAAGAACACCATGCTTGAAGACATAAAGATCTGGACTTTACACTTTATATACTATGTTGGTAGATTATCTAATGCTCTAACCCCCGGCTTATTCTTGTGCAAAAATGGAAATAAAAATCCTCTTTGTCAGGGCAACTACCTTACAGGATAGTGAGGATTATTTAGAAAATGTAGGTGAAGCTGCCTAATAGTAAAGAGGCTTTCAATAAACGGCTGATGTTTCCTGCTCACACTCCCAGATCCACCTGTTGTAGAAGGGTGCTCAGTAACTGTGTCTGGTATAGAAACTTTCTTTCTTTCAGTAACTGACCATAACCTAGCTATAGCCATTTTCTGTCTTTTTAAATTTTCAATTGGCAAGAAGTAATTGTATATTTATACGATAGAGTGTGGCTTTTTTTTTTTTTTTTTTTTTTTTTTTTTTTTTTTTTTTTTGACAGGCAGAGTGGATAGTCAGAGAGAGAGACAGAGAGAAAGGTCTTCCTTTTCCATTGGTTCACCCTCCAATAGCCGCTGCGGCCGGCGCGCTGCGGCCGGCACACCACACCGATCCGAAGTCAGGAGCCAGGTGCTTCTCCTGGTCTCCCATGGGGTGCAGGGCCCAAGCACTTGGGCCATCCTCCACTGCCTTCCCGGGCCATAGCAGAGAGCTGGCCTGGAAGAGGGGCAACCGGGAAAGAATCCGGCGCCCCGACTGGGACTAGAACCCGGTGTGCGGGGTGCCGCTAGGTGGAGGATTAGCCTATTGAGCTGCGGCACCGGCCATGGCATTTCAATACATGTACACATGTGTAATAGCCATTTTCTCTGTTATAAAGAAAAGGAAATTTGACCTAATGAAAAAAAAGCATCACAAGCAAAACAAACTTAGAGAATAGAAATATAATGTCAAAACCAAAATCTCTCCAGAGATAGCTTAAATCAAGGTTTACGTTTTCCACTGTATCAAGAGACTTCTGGCATGTAAGTTAGTGACCTATTCCTTAACCAAGGTGGTGGTTACAAGGGTATGTTCACTCTAGGATAATTCATTGAACTATGCATGTCAGGTTTGTGTACTTTCTATTTGTTTGTATTATTCTTAAGTAAAAAACTAAAAATTTTTCTCTGCAGAAATCATGCCCAGGGTCAAACAACGAAGAAAGCTTAAAACTAAAGATAAGAGATCACTCAAAAAAAAAGAAGACTCTCTCTTCCAGTCCAAACTACCTCCTTCTCCACTACCCTCACCAGAAAGGTAAGGTGTCATATGGCACAGAGAAAACACTGGATCTTATCAGTTCAGGATAGATACCAGATTTAGCAAATAAAAATAAAGAAGGCCCAAAATTTTTTTTTTAAAGATTTATTTACTTATTTGAATGCCAGAATTATAGAGAGGGAGAAAGTAGAGAGAGAAAAATATTCCAACTTCTGGTTCATTCCCCAAATGACCACAATGGCCAGGGCTGAGCTAGAAGCTTCAGTTGGGTGCAGGGACCCAAGAACTTGGGCCATCCTCTGCCGCTTTCCCAGGCGCATTAGCAGGGAGCTGCATCAGAAGTAGAGTAGCTGAGACTTGAACCAGCAACCATTTGGGATGCCAGCACTTCAGACATTAGCCTAACCCACTGCGCCACAGCACTAGTCCCAAGCCCAACGAAAGTTGAATTTCAGATGAAGAATGAATACCTTTCTTGTATTATGTGTCCTGTGCAACATTTGGAATATATTATTTTTTTTCTGGGGCTGGCGCCATGGCTCACTTGGTTAATCCTCCACCAGCAGCTCTGGATCCCATATGGGCACTGGGTTCTAGTCCCGGTTGCTCTTCTTCCAGTCCAGCTCTCTGCTGTGGCCCGGGAAGGCAGTGGAGGATGGCCCAAGTATTTGGGCGCCTGCACCCGCCTGGGAGACCAGGAGGAGGCACCTGGCTCCTGGCTTTGGATCCCGGCCATAGCGGCCATTTGGGGGGGTGAACCAACGGAAGGAAGATCTTCTCTCTCTCTCTCTCTCTCTCTCTCTCTCTCTCACTGTCTAACTCTGCCTGTCAAATAAAAAAAAATTATTTTTTCTTTATCTGAAATTCAATTTTAACAATTTAGAGAGATCAAATTAAATAAAAATCCCAAGGAATTGTGTTCAAATGCACAACACCTATTTTCTACTTTCCCAGCGAATTTAATTTCATAAATCTGGCAACTACATTAAAAAGAGACCTAAGACTGAAATTTAAATCTTAGTTTTCATAAAATTTGGCCATTTACTCTCTGACTCACAACTTAAATGTACTATTGAAAGAGACTCAGTTCTAGAAATGGTAGGGTGCTGGTTTTCATAATAACTTATACTTTATGTGCTTCTTTGTTGTTATAGCTGCTTTCACAAAACACTTTCTGGGTAGACATTGAGGTGCAGTAGCTTATAATGCCACTTAGGATGCCTGCATCCCATATCGGAGTGCTGGTTCAAGCCCTGACTACTCTGCTTCCAGTCCAGCTCCCTGATAATGTACCCAGGAAGCAGCATAGAATGGCACATACAATGGGCCACATGGGAGCTCTGGATGTAGTTCTTGGCTTCTTGTTTCTGGTTTTGTATCGGCCCAACCCTGGATATTGCAGGCATTTGGGGAGTAAACTAGAAAATTGAAGATCTCTCACTCCCCCCCCCATCCACCGCAACCCCATATCACTCTTCCTTTCAAGTATATAAACTAAAAAAAAAAAAAAAAACCTGCTAACTAATCTTTTTGGTTTGGACCATATTTTATGGAATGAAGTGTTGCCCAATTCCAGAATGGAAAATAAAGCCAATTAAGAGTATTAAACACAGTTGTTGTGATTTTCTCTTTTGATAGATAGAATCCATATATTTTATGTAATGGGTCTTTCTTCCTTAATGAGCCCACAGGACAGATTTATTTATTTGAAAGGCAGAGTTACAGAGAGGCAGAGACAGAGACAGAGACAGAGAGAGAGAGATCTTCTGTCTGCTAGTTTACTCCCTAAATGGCCACAAGGAACCAAGAGTTTTGTCAGATTGTGCATGCAGGAGCCCAAGCACTTGAGCTATCCTCTGCTGCTTTCCCAGGCACATTAGCAGGGAGCTGGGTCATAAGTGGAGCAACCAGTACTCAAACCAGTGCCCAAATGGGATGCCAGCACCACAGACAGCAGGTTAACATGCTGTGCTACAGTGCCGGCTCCATACAGTATTTTTAACTATGTTTTTCATTTCTGAATCCCTTGTACCTGGAATATAGTAGGTACTTTTTTATTCTTTTATTTTCCCTCTTTTTTAGAGATTTATTTATTTGTTTATTTGAAAGGCAGAATTGCAGAGTGGCAGAGGGAGAGAGAAGAGGGGGGATTTCCGTCCACTGGTTCACTCTCAGATGGCCACAAAGGCTGTATAGCTATGCGGACCCGAAGCCAGGAGCCAGGAGCTTCTTCCGGGTCTCCCACATAGATGCAGGGGCCCAAGGACTTGGGCCATTTTCCATTGCTTTCCCAAGCTATAGCAGAGAGCTGGATCAGAAGTGGAGCAGCCGGGACTTGAACTGGCGCCCATATGGGATGCCAGCACTGCAGGAGGCTTTACCTGCTATACCACAGTTCCAGCCCTGGTACCTTTTTTTTTTTTTTTTTTAAGGTTATGTATTCATGTATTTGAAAAGTAGAATGAGAGAGAACAGTCTTCTATCCACTGATTCACTCCCAAAATGCCTACAACAGCCACGACTGGCTCAGGCAGAAGCCAGAAGCTAGGGACTCCATCTGGTCCCTCGCATGAGTGGCAGGAACCCAAGCATGTGGGCCATCATCTGCTGCCTCTCATGTGCATTAGAAGGAAACTGGAGGCCGGCGCCGCGGCTCACTAGGCTAATCCTCCGCCTAGCGGCGCCGGCACACCGGGTTCTAGTCCCGGTCGGGGCGCCGGATTCTGTCCCGGTTGCCCCTCTTCCAGGCCAGCCCTCTGCTGTGGCCAGGGAGTGCAGTGGAGGATGGCCCAAGTGCTTGGGCCCTGCACCCCATGGGAGACCAGGAGAAGCACCTGGCTCCTGGCTCCTGCCATCGGATCAGCGCGGTGCGCCGGCTGCAGCGCGCCGCAGCAGCCATTGGAGGGTGAACCAATGGCAAAAGGAAGACCTTTCTCTCTGTCTCTCTCTCTCACTGTCCACTCTGCCTGTCAAAAAAAAAAAAAAAAAAGAAGGAAACTGGATTGGAAGCACAGAGTAGCTGGAACTCTGATATGAGAGTGGGTGCCCCAAGCCGTGGCTTAACATCACAACAGCCATGTTATCACAGGTACTTGATAAGATATCTGTTCTATAAATAAAAACCTGAATTTTGACATCTGATGAAGGTTTTGGTGTTAGGGAGTCTCTGCTACTGAGTTTAACTATGAAAGCAGCCTCTTGCTTACTTAATGAGAGGCTATTATTCTGACAGGGTTTTTTTTTTTTAATTTATTTATTTTGTTTGATTTTGTTTTTCCTACAGAACGGTTATTTCTTCAGCAGAAATCTCCCATAGCAGAAACTTGCTAAGATCATTCTGGAACTTCAGATTTCCCAAAGATGCAATAAAGCTCTGGACAAATAGAGTATGGTCTATATACAGCTGGTGCCACAACTGTGTAGTCCCGGTATGGGTTTGACATGCCTGTTCTCAGCAATATGGTTTTTCTATGCACTTAATGTTTGATGTTTGTATCTATATGTCCATATGCTCAGGTCAGCGCAACACTCAGGCTAAGCTCAGATGAGATGAAATTATGGGGCAAGCTATTACTACCTTTGCTTCCATAAAACCCAGATAAAACCCCTTTTCTGATTCATTTTTTTTCCTTGTGTTTATCATATTGTTCATAGGATTCAGGCTTGTTTATTTGTGAATTTCAGAGTTTAGAAGTGTTGAAAGACATCATCTTTCCATCCCGTATCTGCCACCGGGAACTTTACAGTCTGAAACAACAGTTTTGTGTTTTGGAAAGTGAATTATGCAAGCTCCAGGAAGCACTGAAGGTCAGTATTGTCACATAAAAAACAAATGCAGAACCAGACTTTTAAAGGGGAGACTTTATTTGAAAAGATGGTCACAGAAGGGAAAATTCTCTTTTCATAAGATCTGTAAGCACCTTAAACATGAGGCAGAATGAGATTTTCTTTTTTTAGTTAGGAGTAAACAAGCCTACAAAGAAGTGGCTGTTAGGAGTAGGGTGAACAGGTGGGATGATCTGATGGGAGAGTTGGCCTTAGTTTTCCCTTGATGTCAGCTAGTTTTGTCCATATTCATCAGTCAGTGGCATCAAACAATTCAGCTAATCATACATCAGACCAAAAAATAAAAATTAAGGGTCTGTTTCTGGCTTTGTCATGGATAAATGAGGGAGTCATCCATGTCTTCTATAAGTGATACAGAGAAGGACAGTCTTTGTGGAAATCTGTTTCCTAAAACTTAAAAAGATGGGGGAATTTTTTAGCCATCCTTGTTTTTCAGGATCACAGGGCTCAGGACCAAGGCAGAGGATCAGAAAACATTTTTACCTGCTGTTTGTGAAATTTTAAATAACTAGTCAGGCATAAAAATCAAACATTAATGCATGGTAAAAGATATGATAAGCCAAATCAAATAAAAGCTGGGGAAAATATTTGCTCAAATGCCAGGAAAATCATTAATTAATTTTTTGAATATATAAAAACTCCTACAAATTAATAATTTTTAAAAAGACCAACAACTCAATAGTAAAATGGGGAAATAATAGGAAGTGTTTAAACACACACAAAAGAGTACAAACTAGTCATAAATACATGAGTAAAGCTCATTTCATTCAAGAGTGAATCAGAATTGTGTGTGATACAAGGTACAAGACCTCAAATTAAACAAAATAAAAGTTCATTTTTCCCCACCTGAAGACCTTGGAAGAAAGCAATCTAGAGCTGTCACAGGGATCTCACAGACATCAGGCTCCTTCTGTCTTACTGCACCATCTGTAACATACTACCTTGAGATCCAAGACAGCTGAGTGAGCTCCTGCATCATAGATTCATTTTAGGCAGCAGAAAGAAAGGAGATTTCCCTGTAGTCACATGGAGAACTTACATTTCATTATAACATAGCTATATAATAGCATGCAGCCCTAAGGAAACCTGGGGAGCTTAGTCCTTTATCTGGATTACAGGATGTCTAGCTAAAAATCAGGTCTCCTATTACTAACAAAAAAGGCAAAAATGTATATGGGTAGACAATTGGTAGTCCCTGCCACATACACAAAACAGATTCAAAATAAACCTCAATAGGTGGGGCCAGTGTTGTGACACAGCAAGTTAAGCCGCTGCTTATAACATGGGCATCCTGCAATTCCCAGCTGCTCAGCCTCTAATTCAGCTCCCTGCTAACGCCCGTGGGAAGGCAGCAGATGACTGCCCAAGTACTTGGGGCCTTACCACCCACATGGGAGACAAGGGTGGACTTTCTGGCTCCTGGCTTCAGCCTGGCCAAGATCTATTTGTTGTGGTCACTCAAGGAGGGAACCAGTAAATGGCTGATCTCTCTCTCTCTCTGTTGCTCTTTCAAATCAGTTAATTTAAAAAAAAATTCAGTGAGTAACGTTTTAAGTTCAGACCAGCAAAACAAATAAACAAAAAAACAAAAAGTTTGGAGAAATTGGCACACTCTTACATTGTTGAGAAAATCATAAATTAGTAAAATATATATGAGTTATAATTAGGTAATGTCTATGAAAATTTGAAAAATATATCTCAATTGATCTAACAAAATTTTATACGTATATACAAAGTTATTTATTGCTGTGAGATATGAAAAAACCCACTAAATATCAAATAATATATTATTAAATAAATTATTATCTATTCATGCAATGGAATACTATATAACCCTTAAAAAGAATGAAGTAGTTCCATATGTACTAATAAGGTATGATCTTAAGAATACAAGAATAAATGAAACACAGAAATATATGCAGAATCATGTTTATAAGATGTTCCTATGTATGACTTCATATAAATATGTGTTTTGATCATACACAGAAAATGCTTAGTTGAGTGAACATACACATGTAAGTACTGATGTACCCATTAGTGCAAAGAATGCTATTGAAATGTTATTGGCTATCAGTCAGTAACCCAGTGGGAAACAAATAGCACACTCAAGATAATCTGAAGATAATTAGATGGAGGAATTATTTGTAAAAGCATGGACAGGATATAGAGAAATACAGCACCACCCCACATGGCAAGGCAGCTCTCACCACCCCAGGCCTGGCATGGCAAAAGGCTAGGGAGCGTATCAGAACCTGGAGATCCTGGAGTGCTCTCTGGCAGGAGCTGAAATCTCCCTTGAGCCAGTCGGCCTGCAGCATGCCTGACAAGACCCTTCTTCCCCTGCTCTGGTCTCCAGCTGCAAACCAGATGGCCAGGGAGTCCTGCGTTGTGATCTGTGTAGTAAAGCCCAAGAAGGTGTGGGTTCTAACAAGGGTGGGTGGAGGAGAAAAGAGAAAATGATTCACCCCAAAACACAACAAATTGCTAACATTGTTTGCCTTTAGTGATGGACAGTGTATAGCGGGGGTCAGGGTGGGAAGAGACTTGCTTTTTCACAGTACAGCCTTTTTCATCTTCTGGGTTTTGTGCCTTGCATTAACAATATTAACTCATGCATCCCACATCAGAATGTCTGGGTTCAATATCTGGCTCTGGCTCCTGACTCTAGATTCCTGCTAATGTGGTCCCTGTGAGGCAGTAGTGATGGGTTAACTTGTAGTTGTGTCCCTGCCTCCAGCGTGGAAGATAGAAGACCTGGATTCAGTTCCCAGCTCCCAGCTTTGGCCCAGCCCTGACCTGGCTATTGCAGGCACTTGAGTGAACCAGAGGATGAGAAATAAGTAAATGTACAAGAAAATAATATGGCCGGCATCGTGGCTCAATAGGCTAATCCTCCGCCTGTGGCGCTGGCATCCCATGTTCTAGTCCCGGTTGGGGCGCCGGATTCTGTCCTGGTTGCTCCTCTTCCAGTCTAGCTCTATGCTGTGGCCCGGGAGTGCAGTGGAGGATGGCCCAAATGCTTGGGCCCTGCACCCCATGGGAGACCAGGAGAAGCACCTGGCTCCTGCCATCGGATCAGCGCAGTGCACCAGCCGCAGCGCGCCGGTTGCAGTGGCCACTGGGGGGTGAACCAATGGAAAAGGAAGACCTTTCTCTCTGTCTCTCTCTCTCACTGTCCACTCTGCCTGTCAAATAAATAAATAAAAAGAAAACAATAAAGGAATTAGTTGTGTGTGATACAAGGTATCACAAATTAATTAGCCAGTTGAGATTTTAGTTCTGGAAGTAAATTCATTGTTATTTTGAATTCCTGTAATTTTATAGCTTTCTTGTCAGCATTTTGCTGCTGGTGACTCTGCAGTGCTTTGAACAGACTTTAGAAAGAAAGCATTTAAAAGTATAGAATGTGCATTGTGTGTGTGTGTATAATGATTCTATAAACCTTCCCTTTTTTCCCTCACCCCTTCAAACTATTTTTTTAAAGATATTATTTATTTATTTGAAAAACAGAATTACAGTGTGAGAGAGAGATCTTTCATCCACTGGTTCACTCCCCAAACGACCACAGTGGCTGGGGTTGGGCTGGACCAAAGCCAGGAGCCTGAACTCCAACCAGGTCCTCCACGTGAGTAGCAGGGGCCCAAGTACTTGGGCTATCTGTCATATTTTAACCCTGAATCACCCATCCAAATTAATTGAGGAAGTTAATTGATATAAAACTACAGAATGAAGCCCATGTTATTTCATTCCCTAAGAATGTTTTAGAAGGCTGTGTCAACCAACTATTTTTATCTACAAGTGAGAGAATCACAATACAACTGATTGGTTTAAGCCCTTTTAACTGATTAAGTCTAGGTTATAGCTGGATCCAGAGACTCAAATGATATTGTCAGAATCCTGGCTCTGCTCCCTTGTTTTGGTTCTGCCTTCTTTTGTATAAGTTTCTTCTCATGGATTCTGTCCCAGTGGTAGGCACATGGTTGCTGGCAGCCTCAGATTGTTATTTTCATTTCAGAAGAGCGTCAGCAGAGGGAATTTGTCCTGGGTTCTGTAGCCAGCCCTTCAGCGGCTGTCCCACACCACTCATGTGGGCTGAGGGAGGGCAGAGATTGTTCTCCACAGGTGGGCTGACTCCTGCACTCTGCATTGCCCCAGCTCCATGTTAGGTTTGATGTCTCCCTGGCTCCTGGTTATGCAGGGCCAACAGAAGACACTGATGATGGACCCTGTGTTCTTTGTGTTGAATCATTTCTCCAACAACGGTTACGGTTGCCTCACTGGTCCTTGCTCCTACCTAAATACAAGGGTACACTTAAATTTATAAAATATATTTTCCATGAACTTTTGGAATACCCCTATAGACACAGATTTCAAATTTTTTTCCACCAAAGTAAGCTTATCCTTTAATTCCATCTGCTAAGATCTTTTGTAGTGTCCCTTCAGACATTCTTCTGGTTTCTTGAGTCTCTGGGTACAGCTGGCTCCAGACCTGTGGGTTTACCACCTCTGCTTTGTCTCTCCAGCCTCAGGGTGCTAGTGGCTTCCTGTTGTGAATCCCTGGCCTGCCTCACAGTCCCCTTCCATTGCATGAGTAATCAGTTTCCTTTATCATATTCCCCCTCTTCTAAATACTTCAAGTGATTTCTATTTTTTTGACTCATGCATTAAGTTAAAAAAAAAAAAAAAACTCTAAATATCTACAGCAAACTCCCCTAAAGACCCTGTTCTCAGCCTTGTGTGCTTGGTCTGGAGAGAAGCTTTAGGGATTCTACCTTTGCTCATGGAATTTGTAGCTCAAGAGGAGCTAGCCGGGGCCGGCATTGTGGCCTAGCGGGAAAAGCTGCGACCTGCAATGCCAGCGGCATCGATATGAGTGCCAGTTCATGTCCAGGCTGCTTCACTTTCAACCCAGCTCACTGCTAATGATCGGGGAAAAACAGCAGAAGATAGACCAAGTATTTGGGCTCCTTCTACCCATATGGAAGACCTGGGTGAAGCTCCTGGCTCCTGACTTCTGCCTGGCCCAGCCCTGGCCATTGTAGCCATCAGGGGTGGTGAAGTAGTGGATGGAAGATCACTCTGTTTATCCCTCTCTCTCTGTAACTCTGATTTTCAAATAAAGTAAAACTCTTAAAAAAAAAAAAAAAAAGAAGAAGAAGAAGAAGAAGAACTAGCCAAGGGAGGAAACGGCAAGTCATTTCATTTCTCTGGTGCTCAATTTCTGCATCTGTAAAATGCCATTTGTAGGGAGTAGATGAATGGTGACTTCCAAAAAGTCACATTTAAATTCCAATTCTAGGAATCTGTATACATTACCTTATTTGGGGAAAAAGGGTCTCTGCTAGTGTGGTTAAGTTAAGGATTTTGAGATGAAACCAAGGAAAGCTGACAGGTTTCAGAAGCTGGGAAAAGCAAGGAACGGCTTCTCCCCTAGAGCCTTGGGAGAAGCACAGCCCGGCAGACACCTTGATGTGGGACTCTGAGCCTCCAGCCCTGTGAGAAAATAAATTTGGATCATTTAAAACCTTTGTTAGGGCAGCCATGGGGTCATGGTGTTCCTTTCCTGGGGCTGCTGTAGTCACCACCGCCTGGGTGAGCGCCTTAACCCCTCTCTCCCCCTTCTCTGCTCTTCTGTTATAAATGTGACCAAGCCCTCCACCATATCCCCCTATTTCATGTACTCTGGGTGGTTTTATTGTTTTATTGTCTCACAGTTGAGGTGAGAAGTATGAGGGGCAGGCAGGCCTGTCCCTTTTGGCTAGCAGATGGCCACCTTCCTGCTGTGTCCTCACCCGGTCTGTTCTCTCTGCATACCTACATGTCCTCCTATTATAAGAACTCCAGGTTGATTGGATTGGAACCCACCCCAATGGCCTCATTTCAGAGGCCCTGTATTTCCCATACAGTCACATTCTGAGGTGCTGAAGACTAAGACTTCGGGAGAGGAATGCTGGGGCACACAATTCAGCCCTCGCCAGCCCAGGTCCCAGCCCCTCGGCCTCTCCATGGGTTCCTAAAACATGCAGTGTTCTTGAGTGCAGTGGGTATTCTTCCCAGAAGGGAACTCTTCCGCTAGTCCCCTCCCCTGCTAAGTCTCAATTCAACCTGGAGGTCATGGCTGAAAATCTCCAAGCCTCCAGCTGTTCATGCTCAGGGCACACTTCATTGCTCTTAGGGAGGTTTTGTTTATTCTCTTTTGATTATGGTTGTGCATGTTTAATGTCTCACTGGAGTGTCAGCTCCATGATGTAATAATGGACAGGGCTCACTTTATACCCTCAGTGGCTGGCATATAAACTCATACAAAACAAATATATATACATAAGGCAGTTTCAAAAATTAGTGGAAAATGAAATTAAAATATATTTTAATATTTAATATTTAAATATGTGTTGGTGGAAGTTTCCACCAACATCTTGAAGTCTCCTTGTATATAAATGAACAAATGAAATGAAGAAACCCAGGGTCATTAAATGAGGAAGTATTATAAAGCACGTAGTACAAGGGGGAAGCATTCAATCTATGGTAGCTCTAATGTTGATAACTCTCAACCAGAAGAACCAAATTCACCTGTTAGTCACTTGCCAAATGTATTGTTTTCTTCCAGACTGTCTCAAGAAATTCTTCCTGTTCAAACTGTGGTCACATGTGTCTCAGGAGTGGTAAACTTATACAAGTGCCTGCCCCTGCGCTAACCAAGCCTGGAGAATGCCAAGCTATACTTCCTACCACACTGCCACAGCCAGCGGGCCACCCTCCGCCCCCGCCCCCGCCTCCTCCCCCGCCCCCGCCTCCCCCGCCCCCTCCCCTCCCACCTCCTCCGATCCCCCTGGCACCTTTGCTGTTCAGAAAATCTGATAGCACTAAAGCACTTCAGGTAGGACACTACCTAGTACGGGTGTGTTTGGGTCTGTGTGTACTCAGGAGTAAAGCTCATTGATCTTTTAGGGCTGAGGGCTTGATCAGGAAGACTACATTGTGTTCTGATGCCATGGCTTACTAGTGTTAATTGTTTTGTTTTTAAAACTCAGTACTTGTGAATTTACAAATGTTGGATTTAGGAATAATGAAAGTGATTTTTAACCCTTTCTGTCGCTCTGCCTTTCAAACCAATAAAATAAATAATTTTTAAAGGTGGGAGGCAGTGGGTGTTTGGCCTGTTGGTTAAGACACTGGTTAAGACACCCATATCTGAGTGCCTAAGTTCAAGTCCCGATTCAACCTTCCAAATAATGCACACCTTATTAGGCAGCAGGTCATAGCTCAAGTACTTGGGTCCCTGCTACCCACGTGGGACACACAGATGGGGTTCCAGGCTCCTGGCTTTGGCCTGACCTAGCCCTATCTGTTGTTGGCAATTGGGGAATAAACCAGCAGACGGAAGATCTCTGTGTTTCTCTCTCTCTCTCTCTCTCTCTGTTTCTCTCTTTGTGTCGACATTTCAAATTAATAATAATAAAAGAATGAAAAATGAAACAAAAACATTAAAATAGATATGTTAAATCTAGAGCTACTATTCTATTTGCCCTAGTCCATATCTCTCTGACTATACATTCATCTCTCTACATAATTCAAGCAACACTTTGTTTCAATCCGAATAACTCCTCCAATTCCTGTCTTACTAGAAGATGCATTATTGCAGAGAGCTAGCCCATCTCTTAGTTACTATGACATTTTGATGAATTTTTTTCAATAAGCTTAATATTCATGGGTACTGAAATAGGATCATTCTTGGTTTAGTGGAATTTGATAGGTTCCTAACATAAATTACAGTTAGACCTTAACTCCTGAGTTTTTAAAAATTAGATTTACATTTGTATTTTACTAGATGTCTTGGTTGCAATTTTAATTCTCACCTCTCCATGTGTCTTAAGTCAGGACCATTAAAAAAAGATAGACCCATGCAGATCACAGTTAAAGATCTACTGAATGTGAAATTAAAGAAGACACCAAGTTTTGATGAAAGAAGGAAGGTAAGTTGTCATTGACCATATACATGGTGTTTCTGCTTTTAACTTGGATGCCCCTTTATGGAAAATAAATGTGGGGTCAGCATTGTGGCACAGTGGTTTACCACTGCTTGCAACGGCAGCATCCCATATCAAAGTGCCAGTTTGAGTCCTGGCTGCTCAGCTTCTGATACAGCTTCCTGCTAATGCACCTTGGAAGGCAGTCATGATGGCCCGAGTACTTGGACCCATGCTACCCATGTGGGAGACCAGGATAGAATTCTTGGCTTCTGGCTTCTACTTGGCTGTTGTGGCCATTCGGAGAATGAACTATCAGATGGAAAATCCTCTCTCTCTCTCTCCATTTCAAATAAATAAATACATTTTTATAAATATATCTTAAAAAAAATATAAGCTTAAGCCTGTGAATAGAAGTCACCAAATTAAGTATTGACGTTTTATTTTAGTAAAGTTTTTTTTATCTCCTCAACAAAATAGGGCTACCCCAAAATTATTTAATTAGATAATGTTATCTACCAACTATTACTCTGAAGAGGTAGAGATATTCTTTGAAACTGTGAACTAAAAATTGATTAGAGTAGTGGATCTATCTTACACAAACTTAGCACTCAACTGTTTACTGTTTCATCATGTTTAGATTTTGAGCTTATATTTTAAAATGTGTTTTTAATAATATCTTATTTTATGATTAAAGCTTGAACCATCACCAAAGTCACGGAACCCACTAGTCACTGTCTCTGACCTGCAGCGTGTTACCCTGAAACCTAACTCCAAAGTCTTGTCATCTCGAGTCACAAATGTCCTGATGTAAGGAACTGCACAGTGTTATGCTCTCCTGCTACTTAAATGGTTTTTTGCCTATTTGTAACTTTAAAAATTATATGTTCTCCCTGTTGAAAAACCAAAATCTACAGAAAATCTTAAAGAAGAAAACCAGAAGCATCTAAACCATCCTACCAGTGGAGACAGCCATGTTGTTTATCATTATAGTCTTTCCTTGACATATACCCACTCATCTGCATTTCAAAGAGCTGTTTGTTGTAAGACACATTATTGAATTCATAATGGATTCTGGAAGAAAAAGAAACATGTCCAAGAATTTTTTTAATAGCCTGACTTCAAAAATAAAATAGGAAAATTAGTGTGTCTTGGAATCCAGGAAATAAGGGGGTGTGTGTGTGTGTACGTGTGCTTGCAACAGTATATTATAGATATAGAAACAGTTATAGTTTTTCCCTCTTACTATGTCATAAACTTTCCCTGTCTTATTAAAAATTAACTTAAAGTATCACTTTTATTTCTTTAATACATACAGTTCAATATATATAAATTTCATAAATTAGACTCATCTGAGAGATTTAGGTTATTTCTTTTACTCTTCAATGAACATCTCTATCTATCATCTGTGTTTATGGCTGAGGTTTTTTTTTTTAATAGGGTGGATTCTTATGCATATAATTACTAGCTCAAGAACTTTCACTTATTAGAATGGTTATATCATCTTACGCTCCCATCAGAATCTACTGCTATTTTTTAATGTAACAAATGGAGCTGCTCTTTAGGAAGTTGTCTATAATAATGACTGCTTTGCTTAAGAAATAAACTGATAGAAATGGTAAATTCTAATTTTTAGATCTTCATTTTTTTAATATGTTTTTATATTTTTCTTTTATCAGAACTCCTGGTAAGAGCCAGCTTGATCTACGGAAACTGCTTAGAAAAGTCAATGTAGAGAGGTAACATGCACTCTCTGGGTTTATTTTCTAAGTCCATTTGAAAGGCTGGCATAAAACATAACCCTTAATCTTTTCATCACTTTGCAGGAGTCCAGGTGGAACTCCTCTTACCAATAAAGAAAATATGGACACAGGAACTGGACTGACTCCAGTAATGACCCGGGCCTTGAGGAGGAAATTTCAGGTAAACTTTTAGGAAAAAAAAATGGGCCGGCGCCGCGGCTCACTAGGCTAATCCTCCGCCTTGCGGCGCCAGCACACCAGGTTCTAGTCCCGGTCGGGGCTCTGGATTCTGTCCCGGTTGCCCCTCTTCCAGGCCAGCTCTCTGCTGTGGCCAGGGAGTGCAGTGGAGGATGGCCCAAGTGCTTGGGCCCTGCACCTCATGGGAGACCAGGAGAAGTACCTGGCTCCTGCCATCAGATCATCTCAGTGCGCCGGCTGCAGCGCGCCGGCCGCAGCAGCCATTGGAGGGTGAACCAATGGCAAAGGAAGACCTTTCTCTCTGTCTCTCTCTCTCTCTCACTGTCCACTCTGCATGTCAAAAAAATTAAAAAAATAAAAATAAAAAAGGGCTTCTTTTCTAGAGCTCTAATTTTTGTATCTTCATTTATATATATATATATAATTTGTATAACTTTTTTCTGTAAACCAGCTTTCTTAATAATGTGTAAATAGTGCCTTATGTTTTGCAAAGCAACTTCATATTTAGGTTTCATAGGATCCTATCAGATAGTAGCTAGGATTATCATCTCCACTCCCTATCTACAAATATCTGATTTTATTAATTCCTTTAATAAGTATTTAGTAAGTTCTTCCTGTGTGCCAGGCATTGTGCTATAGTGCGAGGTACATAGTGGTAAGCAAAAGACATACCTACTGTCTTGAAGCTTTCATTCTAGTGGATAAAACAGACATATAATCAAATAATCCCGTATTTATATGATTTTATACTGCTGTAAGTGCTGTGAAAGGAAGGAAAAAGATTGTGTAGAAGCTCAAAGAGGAACTTGATCTGGTCTGGTTGACCCAGGAAGATTCCCTTAGGAAGTGGTGATGTTTAAGGTGAGAGGTGAAGCATGAAAGGGTGAATAGATTTATCTATGAGCCAACCATAAATGTCAGGGAGGAGGGAATTTTAGGCAAAGGTATAGCTTATACCAGAGTCCTGGGCAAGGAGGATTGTGGCCCATCCAAAGAACTGAAAAGTGACCCACGTGGCTGTAACATAGAGAGCCCGAGAGTAGTGAAAGATGGGGATGGGGATGGAGATGGAGATGGAGATAGGAGTCAGCCCACACAGGCTTGACTTCACACACCTTTCCTCTTTGCCACCTGCATATATGACTCACACACCAAAATTCAGGAGATGGCTGGCCCTGGGGTGCTTCTTCCAAACGTATTTGCCTTAGTCGTCTTCCTGATCACCTCTATCATCAGATCTGTGAGGAGCAGCCCATCTTCTACCACCTTTCCAGAGTGCTGGGACACAGAGCTGCTGGCCTCTTTGGCCTTGAACCTCATGTTTCCTTCTTCCTCTGCAGCAGAAACATACCACAGACTGACATTCTGACATCCCAGTGCTGTTTTCTCTTTATTCACTCCTTAAGAATCAGTACCTGGCCGGTGCCGCGGCTCAATAGGCTAATCCTCCGCCTAGCGGCGCCAGCACACTGGGTTCTAGTCCCGGTCGGGGCTCCGGATTCTGTCCCGGTTGCCCCTCTTCCAGGCCAGCTCTCTGCTGTGGCCAGGGAGTGCAGTGGAGGATGGCCCAAGTGCTTGGGCCCTGCACCCCATGGGAGACCAGGAGAAGCACCTGGCTCCTGCCTTTGGATCAGCGCAGTGCGCCGGCAGCAGCATAGCCAGCCGTGGCAGCCATTGGAGAGTGAACCAACGGCAAAGGAAGACCTTTCTGTCTCTCTCACTGTCCACTCTGCCTGTCAAAAAAAAAAGAATCAGTACCTTTTGGGGGACAGCTTGGTCTCCCTCTTGCCAGTCAGCTTGGCTCTCCTGTGCCCTGCATGGCTTTCTATGGAGGGATCTCCAAGTTCCTCTCTACGAGCACTCAGTAGAAGTCTACCCAGTCACATTCCTCAGTGACACAAAGTTGTGAAGGGCGGGGCAGAGGGGACCAGTCCTCACTAAAGGGCTTAGGTCCTTCTTAGGTCCCTGTTGAACTATAGGATGCTTGTTGTCCCTACCCTACTCCATATCTAGTACCGTGATGTGGAATCTATGGATGCTGTGTTCCCCGAAACCCACATCCAGGGAACATGTCTAGGAAAAGTTGTTAGATGTAGGATGGCTTCTCCCACCCTGCTCTTAGGCTTCCTGTCTCCTTTAAGTCTGAAGCAGTAGTGTCAGTTGGGTTTTGTATTTGACTATAGGTACAGAAATCTGACTACAGTGGCTTAATCAAATTGAGACATGTTCTTCTTCCCTAAATATTCCTTTGGGAAATAGGAAGTCCACAATGAATACAACAGCTTTACCACATCATCACTGCTCTTTCATCCTTAATGTGTGGGTTTTGTCTTCATGCTTCAGAATGGCTCTACTTCCTGAAGACTCAAGTACACATTGCAGACAAGAGGAAAAAAGCAAAAGTCAAATAATATGTTAGAAGCTCTATCAAAAAATGTGTAATTATGTCACAGAAGATGGGGAAAAGTGTGTGTGTGTGTGTGTGTGTAAGATTTATTTATTTACTTTTATTTTATTTTTTTGATAGGCAGAGTTAGACAGTAAGAGAGAGAGACAGAGAGAAAGGTCTTCCTTTTTCCGTTGGTTCACCCCCCAGGTGGCTGCTATGGCAGGTGCGTTGCACCAATCCGAAGCCAGAAGCCAGGTGCTTCCTCCTGGTCTCCCATGGGGGTGCAGAGCCCGAGGACCTGGGCCATCCTCTACTGCCCTCCCGGGCCACAGCAGAGAGCCAGACTGGAAGAGGAGCAACCAGGACAGAATCCGGCGCCCCAACCGGAACTAGAACCCGGGGTGCCGGTGCTGCAGGTGGAGGATTAGCCTAGTGAGCCATGGCGCTGGCCAAGATTTATTTATTTGAAAGGCAGAGCTACAAAGCAGGGTCAGGGGGAGAAATAAAGAGAGAGAGACATTGGTCTTCCATCCTGTGGTTCACTCCCAAATGTCCACAGCAGCCAGGGCTGGGCCAGGCTGAAGTCTGGAGCCAGGAGCTTCCTGTGCATCTCCCACATGGGTGGCAGGGGCCCAAGCACTTGGGTCATCCTCCACTGTTTTTCCCAAGCCATTAGCAGATTGTTGGGTCAGAAACAGAGCAGCTGGGACTTGAACCAATGCCCATATGGGATGCCAGCACTGCAGGTAGTGGCTTTACTGCTACACCACAATACCAGTCCCAGAAAAGTAGTTTTTAAAAATTGTATGTGACTGGGAAGTATCACTATGTTCCTAAATCTGTATATATGAAATTTGTATACCTTAAATTATAAAAAGGTTTATTTTTAAAAAATGTATGTGATTCTGCTCTCTAAAAAATGTACAGTCTGTTAATGAGGAAGAAGGAGAATTGTGCTGAGCACAGGAACATAATTCACATTCTGACTGGGACTTCTTTTTTTTCATAGCTGGCTCACCCTAGAAGCCCAACTCAAACTCTGCAGCTTTCTCCAAGCAGCTTTGATGAACAAACTGAGGCCAACTCTGCCTGACTCCATGTAATATAATCCATAAGCTGTACGGAGAAAATCACCTGAATCCATTTTCTGTGTAGGAGGGTATATGTAAATATATCATTCCATTGGAAGAATTCGAGTATGTATGGAACACACACACACACTCTGGTGTAAAAGTGTGTATTTGGTTGGATATTCTCTAGTTATGCATTGTCAGTAAAAGAACCAGATGAGAAAACACAGTCTTTCATCTTGGAATTACCCAATGTAAGTTAAAGAGGTTGTTCAAATTAGCTAGATAACTCTAGTTTGTACTGTACAGGTGCAGTCACGACATTAAGAAAATAGCCTGTCTCCTATTCATCCTGGATATTCTAGGGTAATTGAAAAAATAAGTATTTTAGCCTATAAGGCTTACGCATTCATTTCTACACATTTGAAAAGGTCCTCTATGTTTTATTTATATAGTTGTTCTGTAAACAATTAAGAGGTAAGACCATATACAATCCAAAAGAATTTGACACAAAAGGCCCAATGTCACCTTCAAAATTAGAATGCACTGGAAGTGGATGGCCAGGGCCTGATTGCCTGCTGCTTGCTAAGGGTGTAGCCTGTGTGATCGAGATAAGCTGGGCTTTATGCCTTTGGCTAAAGATTTGCTACATCCATCCTTGAAGGAGGAAAGGAAAAAAACATAAAAGAAATGACTTGTTCAAAGTCCAAATCCTTATTTTATGGGTGTAAAGTGCTCAGGTTGCCAAAAGATTACTACGATTTTCAGACGTGCTCACACAGAGGTTCTTTGTGTAGGTTGTGCAACAGTGTTGTGGCAGCCTACAAGGAGGAAAGGCCAGACTCACAGAAGGGTGTTGCTCCGGAAGAAAGCAACATTAATCGTCCATACAACTTCCCTAATCTGTGTTTCCTCCTAGAAAACTTTAGCCTAAGTTCAATAATTCTAGCATATCTATCAATATAAAGCAATTGTGTTTGATTTTGTAGGGTGTACAATAATGATCTCCTATTTTTGGTGTCAGTTTTCAACAACATTTTGATTATGGACAAAAAATTAAAGATCATTTCTAGCACCTTAGGTAGGTAGTTTTATCCAGCTACTGAAGTCTAAGATATTCCTCACTTTTGTACCTGCTGTCCACATTCAGCTAAATGAAAACGTCCAGAAGCCGTCAGCATGAGCCTTCTGTTTTCCACAATGCATTGCCAAGGATTGTCTGAAGTCTGTAGCAGCTTCCCTGTCCTCACCAGTCTGTGTGTTCCATCATCGCAGTAATGCATTGGATTCTTTCCTGCCAGTCAAGGGTTGCCAGATTTAGCCAATAAGAATACAAGAATTAAATGTGAACTTCAGAGAAGCCACAGATAACTTTTAAGTCTAAATGTGTCCCATTAAACAAAAAAAATTACTGTATGTCCTACATATTATATGGCACATATTTATACTTAAGCAATTATTTATTGTTCACATTTAACTGGACATTCTGTGTTTCACATAGCAGCCTTATCAGTCAGTCCCCTACAAAGTTACCAAAGCTTCCTGAAAGCCAGATGTGTCTACCTAGCAGTGGACAATAATACTGTGACCTCTGCCAGGATCCTCATCACATATGGACCAAGTATCTGGAGGGAAAACTCATCGTAGTGAGTGGGACTGAAGGCACAGGATTTGCTGGGATGTGATATCCTCTGCAGTCAAGGAAAGGACAGCAGCTTCTGACTGGTGGGATTCAAAGGGTTCAGATCTTTACTGAACTTCCTAATCTAACAGGAAACAGCTACACACATGAGGTCCTTGAAATAGCCTCAGGTCTGCATTTCTAATAAATGCCTATAATTCCACAGAAAAATATTGCATTGAGATGCCAAATAGAGTGTTGTTAGAAAGTCACCAGGCTAGATCGCAGACCTAGGGACAGTGTCTAGCACCTAAGAGGCAGGCCAGTTTATAAGACCCTTAGTTAACGTTTACAACATTCATGGATGAAAATTAAATCCTGAAGTTGATAGGTATCAGTTTCTTGTAAAGTTGTTTCTTTTTGAAACCTGCTAGCTATACTTATATTTTGTGGGATTAAAGGGAATGGTCACTGAGAATAAGGCAACTCAGTATTTATAATTTTTATGGTATACTTATAATGTTCATAATCTCAATAAACAACCATGTACTGTTATCAATTTAATCTAAATGTTTTGACCATTCTTGTGGGATAAAGATTTGTAAGAAAAGTGCTATAGAATTCATATCGATAAACAGCTGCTACTGCCCTTATGCCAGTATTAAAATGTGTTCTACTCTGTATGTTTTTCTAATTTTTATGAGAGATTTTATTTTGTAACCATATGAGTGCCCTGTAAATGCTGTGGCTTCGTTAAACTCTTGTGCCTCATCCCCCCAATGTTTATTTTGGGTCTGAATGACAACCAGAGAATGTAAGCAGCCAAGGTGCATCTGATTCTGTTTTTAAATAAAGATTAAGAAAACTTGATTTTTCTTTTTTAACACTTTTACTAGAAATGTAACACACCTATAAACTGCATAAAACATAAAAATTAACAAATTATAAAGCAAGCACTTGTGTAACCACCAAGAAATAGACATCAAACACCTTCAGAAGCTTTGCCTGTCTCCCTCCCCTTTTACAATCCCTTTTCTAAGTAACCACTGACCTCCATGTTTCAGTATTTCCTTGCTTTTACCCGCTAAGTATGCTTCCCTAAATGTCATGTTTTATTTAAAAATTTATTTAAATTTGTTTTCATTTTATTAGAGAGACAAAGACAGATATCTCCTTGCAGGGGCTGGGGCTGGGCCAGGCTGAATTCAGGATATGGTAATCAATCTGTGTCTCCCACGTGGTGTTAGGGATCCTAACCTTCCAGGGTATACATTGGCAGGAAGGTAGAATTGGAAGTGGAGCTGAGACTTGAACTTGGCATTCCAATATGGGTTGCAAGCATCCAGAGCACAGTCAAAAGCCTGTCCCTATTTTGCTTGCTTTTCGATTCTATATAAATAGAGCCTTGTAGTATAGATTCTTTTGTTTCTCATTTCTTTCTATCAGTATTTTTTTTACCAGAAAATAAACACCAACTTTATTGATATAATAGCAATAGAAAGGCTTTTCAGTTTCTCAGAAGAAAACTAACATGGAACCAGCACTACCTGGCAGGCACTGCAAGATGAAATGTCCACAGTTACAGTTGTGAGAGCGTCCACCACCTGCTCAGGGGTCATCATGGACATTTGCCTTTAGAGCTGCTGCAAGCCCAGGCTTTTCACTGTGGGTAGCTTGATGGTCAGTGCTTCAAACAGGAGGCTGAAATGGTATCAGTCCTGTGTAGAAGCTCTCGGGGCAGACGGAATACATCAGTGTGGGGACAAATCCTTCTTTCTTGATTTCATAGTCAATTTTTCCCTCATACAGTCTGCCAGAAGGCATGAAGAACCCTGTCTGTCTCTGCCCCACACCTGAGCAAGGTGGCGGCATGCTAGCAGGCATTCTGCTGGGGCTCTGAGCTGTGCTCCCTTCTGATGGGGTTGTAGGTGTCTTTTTTGGCAGCTGCAGCAGCTTGATGGGGGAGGAAGGAGCCACCCACCAATCACCTCTTCTTAAAGCTGTATTTTTTGCATTCATAGATGAGATCTGTCTTAGAGCTCCCCAAATTGACAATCTTGGGGCAACCATCTCTATCCTTCTCCTGGATGGTGCCCTCCTTGCAGTAGTAGGCATTGGAGACTCCGAGGCCTCACAGATCACTCAGCGCCCCTGGTGAGAGCCGTAGTTGCACTGTCACGGATGTGCACCAGGGTGCACAGATGCACACAGGCGTCACATTTCTAACAGTCTTCCAATGGCTACGCCAGCCTGCTTGTGGCAAAAGATCAAGTCCAAATGATGTTGACAATCAGTATGTCTTTGTAAGATTCAACTACATTGAGGCCAGCGCTGTGGCATAGTGGGTGAAGCCGCCGCCTGCAGTGCTGGCATCCCATGTGGGCGCTGGTTCGGGTCCTGGCTGCTCTGCTTCCTATCCAGCTCTCTGCTGTGTCCCGGGTAAGCAGTAGAGGATGGCCTGGGTCCTTGGGCCCCTGCACCCACATGGGAGGCCTGGAAGAGGCTCCTGGCTCCTGGCTTCAGATCAGCGCAGTTCCAGCTGTTGCAGCCAGTTGGGGAAAGAGCCGGTGGATTGAGGCCCTCTCTCTCTCTCTGCCTCTCCTTCTCTCTCTGTGTAACTCTGACTTTCAAATAAATAAAATGAATCTTAAAAAAAATTAAAATAAAAAAATTCAACTATGTTACTCTGTAGTGCTATATACTATTTATTTTTGCTGTGAAAATGGCATGATTCACCCTATTGTTAATGAATTTTTATTGTTAATTTAATTAATTCATCCTATTGTCAATGAATATTAGAGTTGTTTTTTTTTTTTTTTTTTTTTTTAATTTATTTGACAGAGAGAGACAGAGAGAAAGGTCTTCCTTCCGCTGGTTCACCCCCAAAATGGCTGCCATGGCCAGAACTACGCCGATCTGAAACCAGGAGCCAGGTACTTCTTCCTGGTCTCCAATGCGGGTACAGGTCCATCCTCCACTTCCTTCCTGGGCCACAGCAGAAAGCTGGACTGGAAGAGGAGCAACCGGAACTAGAACCCTAGTGAGCCATGGCGCTGGCCCGAATATTAGACTTGATTTCAGTTTTTGGCTGTTATGAACCATACACGTCTTTATGAACCTTCTTAAACAAGTACACATGACAAGAATCACTCTAGTGGCTTGCACTGTGGCAGAGCAGGTAAAGCCGCTGCCTGCAGTGCCAGCATCCCATATGGGTGCTGGTTTAGGTCTCTGCTATGGCCTGGGAAAGGAGCAGAAGATGGCCCAGTGGGCCCCTGAGCCCATGTGGGAGACCTGGAAGCAGCTCCTGGCTCCTGGCTTCAGATGGGGACAGCTCCGGCTGTTGCAGCCATTTGGGGAGTGAACCAGCAGATGGAAAATTCTCACTCTCTCTCTCTCTCTCTCTCTCTCTCTCTCTCTGCCTCTGCCTTTCAAATAAATAAATAAATAAATCTTTAAAAAGAAAAAAAGAATCACTCTAGTGTGTATGAGGGATTTTCAAAAGTTCATGGAAAATGTGCAGTTTTAATTTCATTTTTGTAGTAATTTTGAAACCTTCTGGTATTATGAAAAAAACTATGAAACTATGTGTGGACTTTAAAATTTCTTTTCACCAACCTTGTGCTTTTTTTGTTTGATGTTTTTAAGAAGCAGAGAGAGAGAGAGAGAGAGAGATTGATTCTGAGTGTTCTCAACCACTGATTCAGTCCCCAAACACTCATATAAGCATAAGGGGCTACAACCAGGAGCCAGGAATTCAATCCAGATTTCCCACATGGGTGGCAGGAGCCCAACCACTTTAGCCATCACCACTGTCTTCCGGTGCTTGTATTAGCAGGAAGTTGTGGGCAGAGCCAGGGGCTGGCATTGAACCCAGGCACTCCAATAAGGGATGCAGGCATCTTAACCATTAGGTCAAACACCTGCTCCTAAATGTATTACTTTGTCTATTCCTCTGTTTGTCTCTTCTCTTCTTCTATATACCCAAATCCAGCTTGGCTTTGGGAAATTCTGTGTGTTAATCCAAATAAATTACATGGTGCTCCTCACTTTGTAGATTATTTGCTACGTTCAGTAGGTGACTTGGCTGATGAAAGATTATTTTTAAAATTTTTTAGCTCATAAATCCAGGAAAATTGTGTATCTGTTAATATATTAAGCACATACATTATACAAGTTTTTCAAGAAAAGAAAAAACAAAACCAAGAATCTTCAACTCTATCTTTTAAATAAATAAATAAATCTCTTTTATAAAATTAAAGCAAAAATACCAGTACTATGATTTAGGTCCCTACTCTTCCTTTGAAGATTAAATGAGGTAATTCTTTTAAAATTTTTATTCATTTATTTACTTTTATTTGAAATGGAGTTAGACAGAGAGATATATCTTCCATCCACTGATTTGCTCTTGAAATGACCACAAAATTTGGGGCTGGACCAGGTTGAAGCCAGGAACCAGGAACTCAATCCAAGTCTCTCACATAGGTGGCAGAGCCTTAAGTACTTGAGACATAGCCTTCATCTGCTGACTCCCAGAGTGTATATTAGCAGAAAGCTGGATTGGAAACAGAGCCAGGACTTGAATCCTGGGACTCCAATATGAGATGCAGGTGTCCAAAACAGCATCATAACCAGTGTACCAGATGCCTCCTCCTAAATAAGCCAGTTCTTTTTTATTTTTTTAAACGTTTATTTATTTATTTATTTGAAAGTCAGAGTTACACAGAGAGAGAATGAGAGGCAAAGAGGGAGAGATCTTCCATCTGCTGGTTCACTCCCCAATCGCCCGCAATGGCTGAAGCTGCAGCAATCTGAAACCAGGAGCCAGGAGCTTCTTCCTGGTCTCCCACGCAGGTGCAGGGGCCCAAAGACTTGGACCATCTTCTACTGCCTTCCCAGGCCATAGCAGAGAGCTGGATCGGAAGTGGAGCAGCGGCGCCCATATGGAATGCCAGTGATTCAGGCCAGGGCGTTAACCTGCTGCTGACATGACAACCAGTGGTTTAACCACTGAGTCAAACACTTGCCCCAGGGAAGGATGTTTTTGAATTATTGCAAATTGAAGAAAGTTTTCATTGTAGAAAAATTAGAATGTGGAGATACAAAATAAAAGGATGTTCACACTAAAATCTGCACGTGGATGCTTGTAGCAGCTTTAATCATGATTGTCCAAGCTTGTAAGCAACCAAGAATAGATAATAAATTATAATGTGTACATACAATGAATCATTTTTAGCATGAAAAAGCATTGAGTTATCAAATCATAGACAACGAAGAAGCTTAAACTCATATTACCAAGTGAAAGAGGCCAATTTGAAAAGGCTACATTCTGTATGATTCCAACTGTAGGACATTCTAGGAAAAACAAAACCGTAGATAGTAAAAAGCTTAGTGGTTGCCAGAGGTTGGGGGAATGAGAGGAGGGATGAGTAGGTGGAACAAAGAGGATTTTCAGGACAGTGAAACTTCTATATGACACTGTAATGATAGATATGTCATTACACATTTTTTGTAGAATATATAAAATTAAAAAAATATAAAAGCAGGCCAGCGCCGCGGCTCAATAGGCTAATCTTTCACCTAGCGGCGCCGGCACACCGGGTTCTAGTCCTGGTCGGGGCGCCAGATTCTGTCCCGGTTGCCCTTCTTCCAGCCAGCTCTCTGCTGTGGTCCGGGAAGGCAGTGGAGGATGGCCCAAGTGCTTGGGCCCTGCACCCCATGGGAGACCAGGAGAAACACCTGGCTCCTGGCTTTGGATCAGTGTGGTGCTCTGGCGGCGGTGGCCATTGGAGGGTGAACCAACAGCAAAGGAAGACCTTTCTCTCTGTCTCTCTCACTGTCCACTCTGCCTGTCAAAAAAAAAAAAAAATATATATATATATAAAAGCAAATATTAATGCAAACTATAGTGATAGTGATGTATCAGTGTAGATTCATCCATTGTAACAAAATTCTTACTCAGCAGGGAGGCTGCAAGTGTGTGGGCAGGAGGTATACTGGAACTCTGTATTTTTTTTTTAAGATTTACTTATTTTTATTTGAAAGAGTTACACAGAGAGAGGAGAGGCAGAGAGAAAGAGAGGTCTTCCATCCGATGGTTCACTCCCCAACTGGCTGCATTGGCCGGAGCTGCGCCGATCCAAAGCCAGGAACCAGGAGCTTGGTCTGGGTCTCCCACGCGAAAACTGAATCAGAAGTGCAGCAGCCAGATCTCAAACTGGCACCCATATAGGGGGCTGGCGCTTCAGGCCAGGGCATTAACCTTCTGGGCCACAGCGCTGGCCCCAGAACTCTGTACTTTCTACTCTGTTTTTGTAAACCTAAAAGTGCTCTAAAAAAGAAAGTTAATTAAAAATTAAGATTATAAAAAAGAGGAGTAAAACTATATAAACAAATCCTCCCACATTTAAATATTCTGGTATATACTTTTTGTAGCTTGATAAAAAATTTTTTTTAAGCTTGTACTCCACATACTTTTCCAAAATAGGTATCTTCCATTGATATAAGTGAATTACATTTCTTCAGAGAGGGCAGGAGAGGGAAATCTGTTCACGTTTCTTTGCAGGATGTTTCTAGAAAGGTGTTTCTCAAAATGTACAGCTTAAATTGAGCACCTCTTCTGTAGTTAGAAGAATCCGTTGACAATTTTATTTTTTGCAATTTTTATATTTCTTTGAAACGCGAAGTGTTTCCGATCGCCTTTAAATTTAAAGTTAATTTACTTTTATTTATACGAGAGGAAGAAAGGGAGAAACCTCCCATCTCTGGTTCACTCCTCAAAAGCCCACAACGCTGGCAGCCAGAAACTCAATCCACGAGAACGGCAGGGACCCAGGTATTTGAGCCATCACCGCAGCCTCCCAGGGTGCGCCTAAGCAGAAAGTTGGAGCCAGGCGCCCCCCGCTGGAGCCGGAGTCTGGAATGGGAGCGGGTTGTCCCAAGCAGCGTTTTCACCACTAGGCAAAATGCACCCCCGCCAACTTTCTTTTCGATACGGAAACTTAAACCAACTGTGGTGTAGGACTACGGCAAGCCTTGTCATAAACCTAGTGCGGGAAGAGCGGGAGGCGGAACCAAAATGAGAGGAAAGCAAAAGCTGAAGAAGCGGAGGAGGGATTTCAAAAATGCACAAAAGTCGGTTGGGTTTACTGGGAGGACCGGAAGGACTCGAGAGGAGGCTTACACCATGGCGGGTCCTGTCAGCTTACGGGAGCTTCTAATGGGAGCTTCAGCTTGGACGAGCTCAGAAAGTCCCGGAGAGTCCCCTACAGAGGGCGGAGCGAGCGCGGCTGGCGGACCGGAGCCCCCCTGGCGAGAGGATGAGATCTGCGTGGTGGGAATCTTCGGAAAGACGGCTCTGCGCCTGAATTCTGAGAAGTTCTCTCTTGTGAACACCGTGTGCGACCGGCAGGTCTTTCCCCTCTTTCGCCAGCAGGATCCTGGGGATCCAGGGCCCGGAATCAAGAGCGAGACTGGCACGGCTGGGGAGGCTGGTGGAGCCGGGGACCCTGGGGCTGCCGCCGGGGACCCCGTTCGGGGCGGTGCCTCTGCCGCGGAAGGTAGCCGAACCGATCCAGGTTCCCAGGACTACAGCCTTCTGCAGGCCTATTACAACCAAGAAAGCAAAGTTCTCTATCTTCTTCTCACTTCCATCTGTGACAATTCACAGCTTCTGCGAGCTTGTCGGGCCCTTCAGAGCGGGGAAGCTGGAGGTGGCCTCTCTTTACCTCATGCGGAAACGCACGAGTTCTGGAAGCATCAGGAGAAGCTGCAGTGCCTCAGTCTCCTTTACCTTTTCTCCGTCTGTCACATCCTGCTCCTGGTCCATCCCACTTGTTCCTTTGACATCACTTATGATCGAGTGTTCAGAGCCCTGGATGGACTGAGACAGAAAGTACTGCCTCTCCTCAAAACAGCCATTAAAGATTGTCCGGTGGGCAAAGACTGGAAGCTTAATTGCCGACCTTGCCCACCAAGGCTCCTTTTCCTCTTTCAACTCAATGGCGCCCTCAAGGTGGAACCCCCTCGGAACCAAGACCCAGCTCATCCAGACAAGCCCAAGAAACATTCTCCCAAAAGGAGACTGCAGCATGCCCTGGAGGATCAAATCTATAGAATCTTCCGGAAGAGTCGTGTCTTGACTAATCAGAGTATCAACTGTCTCTTTACTGTGCCTGCCAACCAAGCTTTTGTGTACATTGTCCCCGGAAGCCAGGAAGAGGACCCAGTAGGCATGTTGCTGGACCAACTTAGGAGTCACTGTACTGTTAAGGACGCGGAGTCTTTGCTGGTGCCTGCACCCCTTTCTGGGCCCAGGCGATACCAGGTGATGAGACAGCACAACCGACAGCAACTTTCCTTCCATATTGACAGCAGCAGTTCGAGTTCTTCAGGCCAGCTAGTGGATTTCACTCTCCGGGAATTCCTATGGCAGCATGTGGAGCTAGTCTTAAGCAAGAAGGGCTTTGATGACAGCGTGGGCAGGAACCCACAGCCTTCCCATTTTGAACTTCCCACTTACCAGAAGTGGGTCTCAGCAGCTTCAAAACTGTATGAAGTAGCTATTGATGGGAAAGAGGAGGACTTGGGTTCACCCACTGGGGAGCTAACATCTAAGATTTTAAGCAGTATTAAAGTCTTGGAAGGGTTTTTGGATATTGACACAAAATTCTCAGAAAACCGATGCCAAAAAGCTTTACCCATGGCCCATAGTGCTTACCAGTCAAATTTGCCTCATAATTACACAATGACTGTTCATAAGAATCAGCTTGCCCAGGCTCTTCGAGTGTACAGTCAACATGCTAGAGGTCCAGCCTTTCACAAGTATGCCATGCAGTTACATGAGGACTGCTACAAATTTTGGAGCAATGGCCATCAGCTCTGTGAGGAGAGGAGTTTAACTGATCAACACTGTGTACATAAATTTCACTCATTACCTAAATCAGGTAGCCAAAATTTTTTCAGCATTTTGAAATCACAAGTTTGAACTGTTTTTTTATTATTTTAGGGTAATTTGTTCATCATGTATTTTTAAAAGAGCCCTACAAAAATATAGCTGCATCAATTGTAGGTTTTCTTTTCTGCTCTAAAAGAAAATACCAGCTATACAACTTGCTTATTTTCTTATATTTAAAGAAAAAACACTAGTGATTTGGTAAAGTTTTAGAAATTTTATATTAATTGTTTTGGAGAATTTTTTTAAACTCAAATGAACACAGTGAAGTGTAAGGTCACCGTGATGATGGTTGCAGGAGGAAAAATTTACTTAGAAATCTGAAGCTTTAGATTAAAATATAAATTATTTATTTTCACTCCTTTCTTTTGTTACTTGTATTCAGTCAAGGTTTTGTGTGTGTTTCCTATTATTTCCAAAGAACTACTTGGAGGATTTTTAGAATTCAGTGTTGTTAGAATTGCAAAGTAGATCTGATTCTGCATTGTGTTTGTGAAATTAATAGTGACTTATATTTTCCAGGAGAAAAACCAGAGGCTGACAGAAATCCTCCTGTGCTGTATCACAACAGTCGGGCTCGATCCACTGGTGCCTGTAACTGTGGCAGGAAACAAGCACCTCGAGATGATCCCTTTGATATCAAGGCAGCTAACTATGACTTTTATCAGGTAGAGACTGAGTTTTTTCTACTTCTTTCTTTTCTTGCTAAATATCATCTGAGTAAAAGCACATAATTTTCAGAAGCAGAATACCTAGAAGAGTAAATGCAGCTACAGTGTGATATATAAAGAAGAGTGAGTTCTTTTTATGTACTTATTTGCTTCCATGATGATTGTTGGTGAAGAATGTGTTACTTTTGATTAAAAAAAAGTTTACAGAGCTCTTTTTTTCCCCCCCTCTGTAGCTTCTGGAAGAAAAATGTTGTGGAAAATTGGATCATATCAATTTCCCAGTATTTGAACCAAGTACTCCAGATCCTGCTCCTGCCAAAAATGAATCCTCTCCTGCCCCTCCAGATTCAGATGCTGATAAACTTAAGGAAAAAGAACCTCAAACCCAAGGAGAGAGCACAAGCCTAAGTCTAGCTTTGAGTCTGGGCCAGTCCACAGATAGCTTAGGTACCTATCCAGCTGATCCGCAAGCAGGAGGAGACAATCCAGAAGTTCATGGTCAAGGAGAAGTGAAAACTGAGAAGAGGCCAAACTTGGTTGATCGACAAGCATCCACAGTTGAGTATCTTCCAGGCATGCTACATTCAAATTGCCCTAAAGGTCTCCTACCCAAATTCTCCAGCTGGTCTTTGGTTAAACTAGGTCCTGCCAAATCGTATAACTTTCATACAGGTTTGGACCAACAGGGCTTCATTCCAGGAACAAACTATCTTATGCCTTGGGACATTGTCATCAGGACTAGAGCTGAAGAAGAAGGAGACTTAGACACAAATTCTTGGCCTGCTCCAAATAAAGCTATTCCTGGAAAGAGAAGTGCAGTTGTAATGGGAAGAGGAAGACGGCGAGACGACATAGCTCGAGCTTTTGTGGGCTTTGAGTATGAAGATTCTCGAGGTCGGAGGTTCATGTGCTCGGGACCTGACAAAGTAATGAAAGTAATGGGAAGTGGACCCAAGGAATCAGCTTTGAAAGCCCTAAACAGTGATATGCCCTTATATATTCTGTCATCATCTCAGGGTAGAGGGCTCAAACCACATTATGCTCAACTTATGAGGCTTTTTGTAGTGGTTCCTGATGCTCCTTTGCAGATAATACTAATGCCTCAGGTAAGAACATGACTTTGTTCCCAAACAAAATACTGATACTTGTTTTGAAAAAGTACATGATGATATCAGAACTATTTATTTCATTAAATTTTAAATTTAAATGTCTTTTTAAACCTAATACTGTGTTTCTTAAAAAAATGAATTGTAGGAGGCTGATGTTATGGTGCAGCAGGTTAAACTGCCACTTGGGATTCCTGCATCTCATATTGGGGTGCTGGTTTGAGTTTCAGCTACTTGTGATCCAGCTTCCTTCTAATGTGCCTGGGAAGGCAGCAGATAATGGTCCAAGGATTGGGGCCCTGCCACCCCCGTGAGAGAATTGGATGGAGTTCTGGGTTCCTGATTTTGACTTTGGCTTCAACTCTGGCTATTGTGGTTATTTGGGGGAGTGAACTAGTGTATGGAAGATTCTCTCTCTCATTCTTCCTTTCAACTAAATAAACAAGTATTTTTAAAATGGTGGGTATTTTGATCAGTTTGCATAGTTTGTTTCAGATGTTTGAGGTTAAAAATCTAAAAAAAAAACAAGATAACACCTGACTAAAGAATCTAATACTGGGTATGATTAGAAATAGTGTACTCATATCTGCTTAGTTTTCTATGCTTTTTGAACTTATTTGTTTGAACATTTATCTTTCAGGTTTTTTTTTTGTCTTACTGAGAAATGTAAGAATAATTATATTACCTGTGTTTTTCAGGTTCAGCCAGGCCCACCACCATGTCCAGTATTCTATCCAGAAAAACAAGAAATCACTCTCCCACCTGATGGCCTTTGGGTTTTGAGATTTCCTTATGCATATGTGACTGAGAGAGGACCTTGTTTCCCTCCCAAGGAAAATGTACAGTTAATGAGCTACAAGGTGCTCCGTGGGGTTCTTAAAGCAGTAACACAGTAAGAGTTTTCCAGCTAGTCTAATCTTAAGGTTGAGCTGATTTCTGTTGTGGGTTGGGGATTTTTTTAGTATATGTATTCTGTGTTTTCCTAAACCCAAAAATGTGTTTTGGTTACAGGAGTTCAGTATTTGGACAATAATTGTTCTATTATTTGATGGTATCATTGATATTTATTGTAAATAGGACTACAACTTCAAAATAAAGATTGGTTGTTCTAGAAAAAGAGAAATGAATATATGGTTAATACCTCTTTTTTCTTGTTTTTGTTTCACTGTACGTAATAAAACATGTGGTTTTTTTTTAATCATAAATTAATGTTGTATAACCATGTTGGGCCCAAACTGTTTTGACTAAAATGATGTTATAGCTGGGATTTTTTTCTTAAGATGCTGCTCCCTGAAATTATCTTCAAAACAGAATGGTCCATTAGGTTATCTGGTAATGAAACAAGGACTAATTTGACTTAATTGCAGAAAAGAAATGAACAAACAAAAAACTAGATGTTTTGCTCACAATTCTGGTACTTTAGATTGTTTTGTTCTTAGTATTTCATTCTTGAACTGTTGAGACACCACATCTTAAATGAATGCCAGCTGAACTTAAAACTTTTTAATCCAAGATATTAATCCTTTATTCTTGAATAACTCTTCTACTGTGAAGCAATTTACTAGGTATTACAAATCAGTCTATAGTAACTTTTTCTAGCATCAACATGGTACACACCATGATATCACCCTCTAATTGGTGATATGTCACCAATTAAGTAAGTGTGCAAAATAAGTTAACATATCAAAAACTCTAGTGTAATTGGTTATGTTTTCCTATATGCATGAAATTTGAAATGCTGGACTAGTAAAATTGGAGATTTTAGTCTCAGCATATATGAACTTTTTTTTAATTAATTAATTTTTTTTTTTTGACAGGCAGAGTGGACAGTGAGAGAGAGAGACAGAGAGAAAGGTCTTCCTTTGCCATTGGTTCACCCTCCAATGGCCGCCGCGGCTGGCGCACTGCGGCCGGCGCACCACGCTGATCCGATGGCAGGAGCCAGGTACTTATCCTGGTCTCCCATGGGGTGCAGGGCCCAAGTACTTGGGCCATCCTCCACTGCACTCCCTGGCCACAGCAGAGAGCTGGCCTGGAAGAGGGGCAACTGGGACAGAATCCGGTGCCCCGACCGGGAGTAGAACCCGGTGTGCCAGTGCCACAAGGCGGAGGATTAGCTTAGTGAGCCGCGGCTCCAGCCAGCATATATGAACTTAACACATCTTTTGAAGTTATTATTTGTGTTCTTGTAAAATTTACTTATAAGGCAGAGGCAGAGACTTCATTATTTGGTTCACTCCCCAAATGCCTGCCATAGCTGGGGTGGGGCCAGACCAAAGCTAGGAGCATCCAACAATTTGAATCTCCCATGTGTGTGGCAGGGACCCAAGTATTTGAACTATCACCTACTGTTTTCCAAGGTATACATGAGCAGGAAGCTGGAATGGGACGCGAAGCCAGGACTCGAATCCAGGCTCTATATCATGGGATGCAGGCATCTCAAGAGGTGTCTCAACTGCTGTATCAAATGTCTGTGTCCTGTTATTTGGGTTTTGATTTAGAAATATATAGGGAAAAACATAACAGGCAGCTGATTTAGAACTATAATGTAATTAGGTGTTTGTTAATGTCTATTATAGTTTGTTTAGGAAAAGGAGAATGAGAGCCCATTTGATCTTACATCCCATCTTTGTTCTTCACTCTTTCTCTGATAACAATTTTGAAAATCACAATTACTATATGCTAAGCGTGGCTCTTGGTTTCATTAAATTGCATACTGCATTTAGAAAGTACAGCTAGATTGCCCTGTAGGACATGTTCTAATAGTTTTTGTTTTATTTCAATAACCTTAGAGACTTGAATAACAGATTGTATAAAATTATAGGCTAAAGTTCTGTAAGAGAATAGTTTTAAAAAACACGCTCTGAAAAGCAAATTCTTTTTCTTCTTTGTTTCCTTTCTTTATTTTTGGTGTCATCCTATGTGAAACTTTACATTCCTGCTAAAATTTGTAAATGATTTTCTTGATTATTTTGTTACAGAAGCCACCCTAATTTGAATTTCTATAGAATTTTAAAGACCAAACTTTTATGCTAAAAGATAATTTCAGTACTTATTCATGTTGGTTTGTATCCATAAATAGGTTCACAGAATAGGAAAGTGGGCTATACAGTTTGTACTGCTTAACTACCTTCTCTTTAGTCATATAAACCTTATTTCAGCACATTTCAAAAATGATGATTTTATTAAATTGTACTTTTTCTGTAGCAGTACTTGCATTGTCCATTGATTAGCAGACGTTTCAGATGGATTCTTTCTGAAGAATCAGTGGGTCAGAAGGGGCTTCAGAGGATGTCCTTAGGCCTATTGGTAAGTCTTTTGATGTGTCCATTAAATTCAGCATATAACTAAAGTCTTAGGAAGTAATTCGTATTTTACTCAAAGAGTAAAGTACTAGTATAGGGGCTGGTGCTGTGGCGTAGCTGAAAAGCCGCCGCCTGCAGTGCTGGCAATCCATTTGGGTGCTGGTTCGAGTCCCAGCTGCTCCTCTTCCAATTCAGCTCTCTGCTATGGTCTGGGAAAGCAATAGAAGATGGCCCAAGTCCTTGGGCCCCTGCACCCATGTAGGAGACCAGGAGGAGGCTCCTGGCTCCTGATTGGCACAGTTCTGGACATTGTGGTTGTTTGGGGAGTAAACCAGAGGATGGAAGACCTCTTTCTCTCTCTCTCTCTCTCTCTCTCTTTCTTTCTTTCTTTTTTTTTTTTTTTTTTTTTTTTGACAGGCAGAGTTAGTGAGAGAGAGAGAGAGACAGAGAGAAAGGTCTTCCTTTTTCTGTTGGTTCACCCCCCAAAATGGCCACTACGGCTGGTGTGCTGTGCTGATCCGAAGCCAGGAGCCAGGTGCTTCCTCCTGGTCTCCCATGCGGGTGCAGGGCCCAAGGACCTGGGCCATCCTCCACTGCCTTCCCGGGCCACAGCAGAGAGCAACCAGTACAGAACCGGTGCCCCAACCGGGACAAGAACCCAGGGTGCCAGCGCCACAGGTGGAGGATTAGCCAAGTGAGCTGTGGCGCTGGCCAAACCTCTTTCTCTCTCTCTCTCTCTTTTTTTTTTTTTTTTTTTTTTTGACAGGCAGAGTGGACAGTGAGAGAGAGAGAGAGACAGAGAGAAAGGTCTTCCTTTGTTGTTGGTTCACCCTCCAATGGCCACCGCAGCCGGCGTGCTGCGGCCGGCGCACTGCGCTGGTCCGATGGCAGGAGCCAGGTACTTCTCCTGGTCTCCCATGGGGTGCAGGGCCCAAGTACTTGGGCCATCCTCCACTGCACTCCCTGGCCACAGCAGAGAGCTGGCCTGGAAGAGGGGCAACCAGGACAGAATCCGGCGCCCCGACCGGGACTAGAACCTGGTGTGCTGGCGCCGCAAGGCGGAGGACTAGCCTAGTGAGCCGCGGCTCTGGCCACGAACCTCTTTCTCTTTCTCTCTCTGCTTCTGCCTCTCTGTAAATCTGCCTTTCAAATAAATAAATAAATCTTAAAAAAAGGTAAAATAAAGAACTAGTATAATAAATCTTTTTGTGAAGTGAGTTACAGTCCTTTTTTTTTTTTTAAAGATTTATTTATTTTAGGGACTGGCAACGTGGCAGAGTAGGCTAAGCTTCCTCCTCTGACGCTGGCATCCTATGTGGGTACTGGTTCATGTTCCGGCTGCTCCTCTTCTGATCCAGTTCCCTGCTTATGGCCTGGGAGAAAAGTGGAAGATTACCTGAGTCCTTGGGCCCCTGCACCAGCTTGGGAGACCCAGAAGGATCTCCTGGCTCCTGGCTTTGTCTCAGCTCTGGCTGTTGTGGCCATTTGAGGGAGTGAACCAGTGGATGGAAGATACCTTTCTCTCTGCCTCTCCTTTTCTCTGTAACTCTACGTCTCAAATAAATAAATAAATAAATAAAATCTTTAAAAAGAAAAATATTTATTTGAAAGGCAGGGTTATAGACAGAGGGAGAGAGAGAGAAAGGTCAGTTAGTAGATGGTTCACTACCTCAATGGCCACAGTTGCTGGAGCTGGACCCACCTTAAGCCAGCAGCCAGGAGCTTCTTCTGGGTTTCCCACTCGGGTGCAGGGACCCAAGCACTTGGGCCATCTTCTACTGCTTTCCCAGGCCACAGGCAGAGAGCTGGATTGGAAGAGGAGCAGCCAGGACATGAACCAGTGTGCATATGGGATGCTGGTACCACAGGCAGAGGCTTAGCCTACTACACTACAGTGCTGGTCCCACAGTCTTGTTTTCAAAAATGGCTTCATATGGTTGGTTTACTTAAAGTTGGGTTTTCTTTTACTATTTAAACTGTATCTTAGTTTTTTAAAAAAGAAAAAAGACTTCTAAGAAAAAGAAAGCAAAATTTTAAAAAATGGGACTAGGGACACCTGACAAAATTAACAATAGCTACACTTTATTATAGCTACTCTTTATTGAAGAACATATAATAAAAATAACTGTTTCTTGAATATCCACTTGTTAGATACTTTACTAAGCATTTCACACTCATCACTTCTAATCCTTAAAACATTGCAGGATAGAAATTAGCCCTATTTTCCAGATATGGAAATTAATGGTTGGAGTGGTTAAATGACTTGTCCAGGTCATATAGCTGAGGAGTAGTATCACCAGAATTTAAGTTCAGGACTCTGATTTTGAAGCTGTGGTCTTCTCAATGTATAGGCTTGTATTTTAGGAATGAAAACTGCTTGTCATTTGCTCCAAATAGATTTGTTTATTTATTCTAAAGGCATAGTGACAGGGGCTGGCGCCATGGCTCACTTGGTTAATCCTCCGCCTGCAGCGCTGGCATCCCATATGGGCGCCGGATTCTAGTCCTAGTTGTTCCTCTTCCAGTCCAGCTCTCTGCGGTGGCCCGGGAAGGCAGTGGAGGATGGCCCGGGTCCTTGGGCCCTGCACCCTCATGGGAGACCAGGAGGAAGCACCTGGCTCCTGGCTTCAGATCAGTGTAGCTCCAGCTGTGGTGGCCATTTTGGGGGTGAACCAACGGAAGGAAGACCTTTCTCTCTGTCTCTCTCTCTCTCTCTCTCACTGTCTAACTCTATCTGTCAAATAAATAAATAAATAAATAAATAAATAAAGGCATAGTGACAAATAGGGAGAAACACAGAGTGAGAGATCTTCCATCTACTAACTCATTCCACAGTTGGCCACAAAAGCCCATGCTGGGACGGGCTGAAGCCAGGAGCCAGGAGCTCCATCCAGCTCTCCCCTGTGGGTGATAGGCACTCAAGTACTTGGACCATAATCTGCTACTTTCCCAGGTACATTAGCAGGGAGCTAAATTGGAAGCAGAGTAGCCAAGACTCAAATCAGTACTGCAGTAGAGGATGTTGGTATCCCATGGATGTTGGCATCCCATGCAGAGGCTAAATCTGCTGCCACTGAATTTTGTTCGTTTGTTTCTGAGAGGCAGAGTGACAGAGAGAGATCTTCCATCTGCTGACTCATTCCTCAAATACCTGTCAGGGCCAGGCCAAGCTGAAACCAAGAACCGGGAACCCCATCCAGGTCTCTCATACAGGTGTCAGGGACTCAAGTACTTGAACCATGATCTGCTGCTTCCCAGGGTGCAGATTTGCAGAAAGCTGGATCTGAAGCAGAGGTGGGACTAAATCCCAGATACTCTGATGTGGAATGCAGGTGTCCCAAGCTGCACTTTAACTTGCTGCACCACAATTCCCACCCCCAACTGAATAGTTTGACTCATTTTAAGACCTGTGAATTGGTGAGTTTACTCTCATTTTAATATCAGAAAACGTAGGTGTGATACCCCCAAAACAACTTTGTTTCCTTTAAGAATATGAATATTGATTATATAACTATAATTATTCAGTCTTTTTATAGTCTCCTGCCTTCTTTTGTTCTATATTTTTACCTATAAAAATAGTACTATGGGGTGGGCATTCGACACCGCATTAAGATACCACTTGGGATGCCCACATCTCGTGTCAGAGGGCCTGGGTTTGAGTTCTGACTTTGAATCTGATTCCAGCTTCCTGCTGCTGTGAACCTTGAGAGGGCGCAGGTGATAGCTCAAGTACTTGGGTCCTGCCATCCACAGGGGTGACCTGGATTAGGTTCCAGGCTCCTGGCTTGTTTCAGGCATTTGGGGATTGAATCTGTGGATGCAAGATCTCTCTGTTCATTTCAAATAAATAAAATGTAATAAATAAAAAATTTAAAATAAGTTAAAATAGGGCCGGCGCCGCAGCTCAGTAGGCTAATCCTCCGCCTTGCGGCGCTGGCACACCGGGTTCTAGTCCCGGTCGGGGCACTGGATTCTGTCCCGGTTGCCCCTCTTCCAGGCCAGCTCTCTGCTGTGGCCAGGGAGTGCAGTGGAGGATGGCCCAAGTGCTTGAGCCCTGCACCTGCATGGGAGACCAGGAGAAACACCTGGCTCCTGCCTTCGGATAGGCGCGGTGCACTGGCTGCAGTGCACCAGCCGTGGCGGCCATTGGAGGGTGAACCAACGGCAAAGGAAGACCTTTCTCTCTCTGTCTCTCTCTCTCACTGTCCACTCTGCCTGTCAAAAGAAAAAAAGAAAAAAGAAAAAAAAAGAAGTTAAAATAGTTCTATAGTAGATTTACTCTACCACTTAAGAAGCCCAGGAAATTTACAGTTATGTAATAGGTCCAATTTAGGAGAAGACATTGGAGATATGATTTTTTAGGGCGAAGAGGTGATTTAAAGATTTATTTTATATGAAAGGCAGAGAGAGAGAAAGCATCCATATGCTGGTTCACTCCCCAGATAGTCATAATGGCTGGGGCTGGGCCAGGCTGATGCCAGGAGCCTGGATCACCATCCAGGTATCCCAAGTGAGTGGCAGGGGCCCACACACTTGGAGCATCTTCCACTGCTTTCACAGGCCCATTAGCATGGAGCTGAATAGGAAGTAGAGCAGCCAGAATTGGAACTGGCTTTCATTTGAGATACCAACTTTGCAGGCAGCAGCTTAACCCACTGTGCCACAATTCTGGCCCCTAAAGATAGTTTTGTGACAATGTCTTTCATCTCTGAGATTAGAATTGTTCTGATTTATGGCACTTGAGTTCTTTTTGAGCCTCTGATTTTAGTTGGATAAAGGATTTCAGGAACCCAAATGCCTTCAGCTCAAAATAATGTTTTAAGATTATTTGAAATGCAGAGCTACAGACAAATGGCAGGGGAGGGGGAGAAGAAAGAGAGACAGAGAGTGAGCTTTCATCGGCTGGT